TCTAGTCACGGTGGTCTCTAGTCACGGTGGTCTCTAGTCACGGTGGTCTCTAGTCACGGTGGTCTCTAGTCACGGTGGTCTCTAGTCACGGTGGTCTCTAGTCACGGTGGTCTCTAGTCACGGTGGTCTCTAGTCACGGTGGTCTCTAGTCACGGTGGTCTCTAGTCACGGTGGTCTCTAGTCACGGTGGTCTCTAGTCACGGTGGTCTCTAGTCACGGTGGTCTCTAGTCACGGTGGTCTCTAGTCACGGTGGTCTCTAGTCACGGTGGTCTCTAGTCACGGTGGTCTCTAGTCACGGTGGTCTCTAGTCACGGTGGTCTCTAGTCACGGTGGTCTCTAGTCACGGTGGTCTCTAGTCACGGTGGTCTCTAGTCACGGTGGTCTCTAGTCACGGTGGTCTCTAGTCACGGTGGTCTCTAGTCACGGTGGTCTCTAGTCACGGTGGTCTCTAGTCACGGTGGTCTCTAGTCACGGTGGTCTCTAGTCACGGTGGTCTCTAGTCACGGTGGTCTCTAGTCACGGTGGTCTTTAGTTACAGGTTTTACTGTACATGTGTGTCGCACATGCTACATACATGTACAGGTACAGGTACATGTACAGGTAACAGCGTAGGTACAATACATGTATTTTTCATTGCTATCAGGTTCGGCCTCATTTCCTCTGTGCTGCGCTGATGAGTCCACAGATTGAGCAATACACGTGATTGTATTGCTTGGAATAAACGAAAACGAAAACGAAAACTTTAATACTGTAATGGTCGGAGCAGAAGTCAATGCCAGTACTGGGCGTTTCGTGACAGCTGCACAATCATGTTGCAACCAAGTGCAGTTCGAGCAAAAGCTAACAATAGTGACATGATTGTATTGGAAAAAGGGCGAAATAATTCCTGTTTCCAGTTTGGGTGCTAGCACCCAAACTGGAAACAGGAATCATGCTGTGCTACCAATACTGGTAAAACTAAACGTTATGCATCATGATTTTTGGGCTGGCCACGCCTAACAGTATCTGTCCATAGTAGGAATATCATCAGTATCATTCTATCTACACGGTCTTTCCATGAGTTGTGCCGTTGTGACCGCACCATTGTGACTTCACTGGTCGTACCGCTTAAAGGGGAAGTCCGGTGAAAAATTTAAATTTCACAGTCCGTAGAGTTCGGGTCGCTGAGTCGAATGGTCTTTGTCCGATGAGGCTGCGGCTTATGGTTCGTCAGATACGCCCAATCGAACATGTGCGAATTTGAGCGCGCATCACCCAGATCCAGGTGATGACGTCACAGCGTGCAGCCAGGTAGCCACACCATCTAGTTGTGTACAAAAATGGCCATATTCGGAGCGCGTTCGATTGGGGAACCGTTTGTCGCAGTTTCTTCGGACCAAGACCATTCGATTCAGTGTTACAAACACTACGTACCCTGTGATTTTCAGCTCGGTAACCCTGGAGGTTATACCGTATTATAGCCGTTTCCGAGTTGGACTTTTCCGTCAGCCTCTACCGTCTACGCGCTCTGCGCTGCGTGCATGCAGTGCGTGCAGTGTGTTATCTAGCTGTAGTGCAGTCAACAAACTCATCACAGACGGAACTACTCCCGCACTGCCGTGCTGGGGTAGTATGTACAAGACTCGAGTCACAACTGACACAAGACTCAGAAAACTAGTCAACACACGGACTTGTCATGTACTACACTCGTATCAGTCGTATTGTTCAGTCATGTAGTCAGAGAACGTGCGTTTCTCCTTGCCGGTGCCGGTGGTTGTGCTTTGAGAAAGAAAATTTTAGTTTTCCGCACCCGCCTCATTATTTCATGTTACAGCGATGAGTGCACAACCGTGACAAGTGACAAAACAGCGAACAGCTCCCGGACCTAGAACTTTCAGATTCCATAGCGTTGCGAGCGAAGAGTCGTGCCCGTGGTTCAAAGAGCCTGCACTGTTCTCCAATTGAGTAGTCCGAAATATTCCAAGTTCGCACCAAAACATCACCATGTGGCAGGCTACTGGAGTCTAAGCGAATCTAATCGGTATGGAACAACATTTAGAGCACTCGCATCACTCTTCTCCATTTTGGCGACCCTGCTCTCCAGCGATCTGATCAGCCTCGTCTGCAATAGCTGCTGCTTCTTCATCAGTCGGAAACTCAGTAGCGCTCACTCTTGACCGGCCCGCGTGGCCATTTCTTCAGCTGCCGAGGTTCTCAGCCCCAGACCGAACTCATGAAGGTCAGCCATGGCTGCATCCTCACTCTCACAAGGAGTTACAGGTCTTCGGGGTCGCTTGCACCAAACTATCAGTCGCCAAATCATTTGAAATAGCACTGACACTATTGCTTTCACGCACTCCTTTTGACCTAGCTGCACGCTATGACGTTGCAGAGGGTGTGGCGCGGCCGCATGACGTCATGGCGCAGCCCCCGAAACTCAGTTTTTCAAACGGAAATATCTCGAGAACGCTTTGTCGGAGACACGTGGGACCAACACCATTCGACTCAGCGCCCGAAACTCTACCGACCCTGAAATTTAAATTTTTCACCGGACTTCCCCTTTAAAGCTCACCATCAGAATGAGATGAGTTTTCCTTTCAACCAAGGGCAAGACCACTGAAGACGGTTATGCGTTGATCCAGCGAGACGTCAGTGCACTTCCACAAAAGGACACACACGTACATGTACATGACATTCATTGTGACATTGTACATGTACACACGCTCTACATCTGAACTGACTGTGCCATGCTCAGTAGCAGCGGGACTCGGCGGGATCGCGGGAGTGTCCGTTTCGCTAGCATCCTTGCTTATGTCAGTATACAGCTGTGTACGAGTACCACGTAAACCAGTAGACCTACGTCGTTGCATGCAGCTAGCTAGCTATCGGCTACGAGTAGCTGATGACTGATGATAGTGACTACACCCAATTATTTCCAAAACTTGCTTCGATTTTGGTCTCATTCGATTCTCCCAGGCGTAGTACTAGTACATAGGAAATCTGCAAGTATTATTCAAATCGGCCCAGCCATTCTTGAGTTATACTTATAGTGATTTGAATTGAAGTGTGCCAAGTAACACTTTCTGTGGAAACAGAAATGAATGGGAGTGATGGGAGAATCGAGAACGACCGCACAGTCAGTGCATGCAGTACAGTGTACAGTGCACACGCCTCGTCACTCGAACTGCGCGTACAAAATTGCATACTTTGGTATGCTGGCGCAGAACAAATTCGCTCGTAGAGGAAGACGAAAGCGTCTCACCGCCTTGTAAATTCACATGGCCAGTAGTTTTTCGACGCTGAGGACGATGGTATAGTCCGCGACGCTGCGACCCGACCAGAACAACCCGAAATTCATACCCTGAAAAAGCGCTGAGCGCAGAGCTCCTAAATTTTGTAGTATGGAAACGGGACTTCGGGTCTCAAGGGCACGAACATCTCCTCTCTCAGATAAAGCAATTCACTCGATGCGATATTCTACAATTTGACCTGGCCACGCGAAATGCACTGCCATGTCGGATTCTCCCATCGGAAGTATAGAAATTTGTTTCCAAAAAATCAGCGTCTGGGTGCGAGGGAGTAAAGTCACTACTGCACTGATGAGTACGCGAGTGTGTACTGCATGCACCGGAACGGCGCAAGAATTATTTAAAATTTTCGCGCACAAACTGTGTGCCATGATTTTTTAAACTCTATTATTTTGATGAGGAAGTGACAGGAGATCGTTCTGTCAGAATTATTTTGTACTCTAGATTTACCTTACCTTAGAGTTAGACTTAGAGCCTGTCATCTCGAGAGACGGTCGTTGTTTTTTGGTGTTTGTGGTGGTTGCATGCACAGTCGGAAATGCGCACTGCACGGTCGGAAATGCGCACTGCACAGTCTTGATTTAAAAAATTTAATATTCACGTCAGTTTCTGCTTTCGAAGCAAGTAATAGTTCGCACTGTCGTACCTCTATCGACCCTCTCAAACTGTCGCAGGTGTGCTGCACGCCGCACAGCCAAGGCAGTGTGACTCAAGCCAAAGGGTGTGAGTCGTGTGTGTTACTGTTATGTGTGTGTGTCAATATCGTGGACATGGTCAGGGGGCACGGTCGGTGCGTGGATCTGTGCCCCTGCTCGAGCTCAGTCAGGAGCTCGCTGCCCTTACTTCTTTGCTTCTCCACACCGGTAAAACTGGACACTACCGCATGAATTTTGGGTGGCTTGCACGGCTGACGGAAGTAGTGCTACATTCTTTATGTGTGTCATACACAAGGCTCAAACAAGAGAGTGAAGTCACACAGACAGTGACTGTGTGAGCTACGCCTTCAGCCATCCATCTGAATTCTGATTATGATCCGCTGGGCAGGCCAACAGTAGATCTACTGGCAGCAAGCAGGTGTGTTAGTGGCGGCACTAGCTAGGGTGGTGGTAGATATGCTACAAAGACGAAGCCCACCGAGCCTACCGCTGGATGCCGACCGGGATGGGTCGCAGCCCGTGGACGACTTCGCGTCGCATTCTTCTGAGAAATGTCTCGACCCCATGCGCCGCTACACCGTCCCAGATGCACCAACACCCAAACAACACTCCCAGTCTACTCCTGTACATGTACCCGTCTCCTGTACAGTGTACTGTACTGACTGTACTGTTACTGCTGCCACTGACACCAGTCATCAAACACGCAGTCAGCGTGCATCTAGTATCATCTACTCTGCACAATGCACAGTCGTTACAGAATCAACACTCGACAACAGTCGAGTCGAGACCACCACCACGACACACTCCAGACCAGTGTCAGAGGCACTGGGACACAGAGTACAGAGACAGTCGAACCGTCACCACACCACAGCAGTACACTGTACAGCTGAACTCGTACTGAAAACCGATCAAGTGCAGTTCAGTTGAAGTGACTGGAGTCTGCAGATACGGCAAGATAGGTCAGCTGCTTCTTGGGAAGGGCCAGGCGCTGCCTGCGCATGCGTCGCCAACCCGTGTTGGCCGAGCGAGGTGGATAGCTACTTTTCTACACGACAGTTTTGCAGCTCATTCTTATGCGTCCACCGATGGCGGACGTTTAGGAACTTTTCTTCTTCGCACTGATTTCGAGCCGAACGAGCCTATTTTCTAATTCGTGTCATAGCGCTGTTCAAGAATCAATAGCAGCTAGTTCCGCGCCGCACGACCTGTACAGGTCAGGAGCGCAGTCATGGCGGACGAAACGCTAAAATACCTTCAGGTCGACAAGCGCTCCGTCAGCAATCCGTCAGCGCAGGCAGAATGGGCCAGCAAGAAGTTGGTGTGGGTGCCGCACCTGGAGCATGGATTTGTGGCTGGCAGCATCAAGAAGGAGTCTGCGGATGAGATGGTCGTGGAGCTGCAGGATGGCTCGACGGCCAGTGTCAACAAGGACGACGTGCAGAGGATGAACCCGCCGAAGTTCTCCAAAGTCGAGGACATGGCTGAGCTCACCTGTTTGAACGAGGCCGCCGTGTTGCACAACCTGAAGGAGCGCTACTACAGCGATCTGATCTACGTACGTAGCTGGTCCGAGAGCTGACTGTGTTTCTAGAGTATTTGTGTGTCACTGTTTGTGCTAGTTTCCAACCAGGCGTGTGACGCGTTTCAGATTGCTTCGATGCCTTTTTGGGTCGAAAATAGTTCTCTGCGTGTGTGGTTGGAGAGATTTTGTTCGCATTTTTTGGGGACTTTCCTGGGCCGAATTTGAAGTGGCATCATGTGGTCTGTGATATTGGGTATGATTCTTGAAGTATCTTCAAGATCCGATAGGAGTGATTTTGATTTTTGTACTGTGTGGGAAAACCCATTGGTCTGATTTATTTGGTTTTTGTGTGATGTGTGTGGCTCTTCCTTTCTACTTCTAGACCTACTCAGGCCTCTTCTGCGTGGTGGTCAATCCCTACAAGAGATTGCCAATCTACACTGAGAAGGTCGTGGACCTTTACAAGGGCAAGAAGCGCCATGAGATGCCCCCACACGTGTTCGCAGTCACTGATACTGCGTACCGCTCCATGCTGCAAGGTGAGCATCACGCACGTACATAATCGTATCCGCACGCAGTCCAGACACAGCACAGATTTGTGGAAATAGCATTTGCTGGTGTCGACAGGACAAACGCCAACCGTTGCCTGTGATGTGTTCTGTAATTGCTTACGACCAGTGTATTGAATTCCACCCCTGGTAATGTTGGTCTTGTGTTGGTGTCGCTGGGGGGAGTGTGCTTGCCACATTCGTGGAAGCGTGACGCTGAAGTGTTACGCTAATAATATCGTGGTTTTTGTATTGTTGATGTTGGGCCCTTCCGTGGAGGAGTGATCGTTTTGAAGTACATGGCTGGTGATGTACCTGCATGCGTCGTAGTCACTGATCATTATCTTTCCTGCCCAATGATTTCACCGTTCATGCTGGGTGCCTTGCCCTCCGCACCCGCCCATCGAGCTCGAGCTCAGTGGTAATACAGGCGGTATTTTTGCTTTGGTGAGCGCTGACGAATATTACTGTATGTACTCTGTCGGCCCACGTCCGGATATTACCCGCTGGGTGTCGTTGTATGCGCACTGTGACCTTGTAGCTTGCTAGCTGTGTCTTGCCAGAATGCGACTGCGTCTCTCTGCGAGCAGTAGTTGAGTGAACGTGAAACTCAGTCCCAACCGATGTCCCAAGATCGCCCATTTGCTCATGTAGTCGTTGAACGTTTTCGCTTTCCACACCTTGGTGCAATGCACAAGCACTGCTATGTCAGAAGTCGGCTGCAGCAAGGCTCTTCCACGAGAATCATGCATTTGCCTTTGCTTGGGCTGCCTGGCAGCCATTCATTGTCATTGCAGAGTTCTTGTCAAACAAACAATCGACACTCTTCCCAAACAGCGTCTCAGCTCTACAACTTGTAGTAAAATTATGTAGAAGAGGACTTGGCGTTGGTCCTCTTTTCTCCATGCATTCCTGAATAATATCGTTGGTTTGAGAACTGCTGCACAGACCATCTGGGAGCGTGGGTATGTAGTAAATTTGATCCGCACGCTACTTTGGGCAGCGCTCAGGAAAAGGAGGTCAGCCAAGCGTGGAATGCGATGAACGAGGTCTGGATTGTTTTGCCAACTGCCTCAATTATTATTTTGACAGCTGCGATATGAGATGGTATGAGCGCATTTGCTTTTGCAGTACTGCCCATGAAATGGACGAAAATCCAGACGCACGCACATACTAGTACACCCTTTCTCTCCTTCCAAGTGTTTAGTGTCGGTGTGTGAGTATGAGTGTGACGCGATGTCCTCTTCACACGCATTTTGTAATGGTGAGATGGCTGATTTGAGGAAAAAAATACAATGCCAGTAGGGGAAGTAAAGCTGATCCGATGTCACAGGGAACAGCTGTGGCAGGAATGCCTGTGTTCCTGTGAGAGACAGTTCAGCCTGCTGCCAACCAATGCTCAGTCTATGCATTTATCCCCCCACTGCAACTAACTAGTTGTCTTGTCAGAATTGTTGTGATCCATTGTATTGTGATGGTGATCTACTTGTACTAGTACAATGTAGTAAGTCCCAAAGTCAGAGTATTGTATGTAGCTAGTAGGTCCAAAAACATTCATTGAGCCAGCTGCCTCCTGGAGTCCTGTTTTTTTCCCCAACACTGTACATAATCATTAGTTGTGTTTGACGCTGCACCAAAGGATAGGCTGTGCACTTCATACTAACTAGTTGGGTTACAATGGGTCCTTGAGATTTGTGTTCACCGTGGCAATGTGCTGTGCAGCAATCAATCAAGACTTCAGTAGAATATGAATATAATTGTGTCAATATAAATTGTGTCAATGGCCCACTGGCCTGGCTGGCATGGTGGGCGGAACACCGAAATTGATTCAGTGAAATTATCTCCAGTATCATGCTAGAACATGCACACTGTGTCTAGTCTATGTATGGAAGCGTATCAGGTCAGTTCCTGACCTGTCTGTCACACTGTCTGCGTTACAACAATAGATCACAATTTAGCTGCCAGATGAATGAGTCCTGTTGCTTTACAGGCTCGGACTTGAGATAAGCCCAGTGCGCGCCTACATGTCAAAGTGACAAATTGACATCCGCAGTTGCTCAGTCCACAGATTGCAGTGTGCCAGGGAATCGTGCGAATCATTGCCTGTGTACTATGGAGGATGTGAATGCAGCAGCATTTGCCCAGGCCCGTCCCATATTACCTGTCAATAACGTCAGCTGAGAGAAGCGGAATGGCAACGCTCCAGATATATTTGTGAGGTGTCGAGCTTTGACAAGCTGATCCCCACGCCTTCCGTGTGTACGCCGGGTTGGCTATTCGCTTGACAGTGCGGCCGTGTGCTGACATGTAGCAAGCCAGTAGCAGCTGCAGACCTGCTATAAACAGGCACATGCATGTTGACAGTACTGAGTGCATAGGAGTTGGGGTGAACATGCACAGATCTGCTGCGAGATCGCATGGCTGCATAGTAGCCCTGGGCTGCAGACGGTATTGCAGTGTGTGGGTGCTTACACTGACGTTCAGTGCCACGTGCACATGCCAGCGTCTCTGCTGGAGCCTAGGGGAAGTCTGTTGTTTGACAGTGCGCGTATGCAAGCAAGCGCAGCTGTATGCTGTGCCAGTCTTTGGGTGTACTAGTGTTATGTGACACCATGTCCGTGCACAGTGAACATGTTCTGTGCTGCACAACATGGCGGTGAGATAAGAACGGCTTACATAATTATTATATTGATGTATAGCATGTAATTGGTGTAATCGTATATGTGCATGTGTGTGTACTAAATCGATTGAAAGGTCCGAAGCATCCATCATGCATTGTGATACGAGTCCTGCCTATTTCTCTGTCCACATTTCTTGCCCACAGATCGTGACAACCAGTCAATTCTTTGCACGTAAGTTATTGAGAATGCCTTTCGAGTGACGGTATGTAATGCCATGTTGAGTATACCGTTTTCAGCTGGAAAAAGTCTCGGGATTTCCCATTCATGTCAACCATCGCCCTCACAAGTGCATGCTTGCAATTGAAATCATGCGAATCCGGACTTGTTGTTTTGAGCGCCATCCTATAACAGCCTGGCTGTGGTCGCCTCTGAAGAAGATAAAAGTCAGTCAGTTTGAAAGTTGATCGTTCTTACAAGTACATGTTCAGTACTAGGCAAGGTTCATTGTTTCTGCAGTCTCTTCAAGTCGACCGACTTGAGGCTATGAACTGCTTCTTGAAGGTTGTGTTGACCACTGCTGACGGATTTACAATTGGACTGGGGGTTGTCCGATGTGAGAAGTGGCTCGAATTTTTGCACTTAAAAAAAAAAATTCTATAAAAGTGCACATGCCTACACACAACGGGGAACAACAACAACAGCAGCAGCAGCAGAACATAGTGAACAACAAAGAGCGTGTAGGTGCTATAATAATATAGCTGTGCACTTGCGTTGGCTTTGTGTTTGCCCCATGATACAGTGGTGAGTCTGGTGCTGGTAAGACGGAGAACACGAAGAAGGTCATCCAGTACCTCGCCCATGTGGCCGGCTCACAGCCCGGTGGCACCAAGGGTGGCAATGTGTCGCGCTCCGGCAGCCAGAACAAGAACCAGATGCTGCAGCGTCGCCAGAGCTCGTCCGGACTCATGAACAAGACCGGTACGCTCCCCTGGCCGTGGTGACTTTGTTTTGCCGTCTGCCTCCGTCCTAGGTCCAGTTTTGTCATGCACGCTGACAAATGCAAAGGACGTTCCTTTATCAGTAGGCCTGTGTTTGCTGATCAACAGTTCCCCTGTAAATATCTGTGGCGCTAGGAGGAATTGTGGTATGAGTATACACTGAAGTGGAGCAGACACAGGCCTAGCAATGCTGCATCACTCATGGCGTACGTGTATGAACACAATTGCATAGTTTATACCGTGCTGAACCAAGGTACGAGGTGGGATGTTTATCCAGCCGCTCATTAGCCAAGTAAAAAATGTCCCTTTCCAACTACAGTGGCACGACAGCAGTGTGATCCGATTATAGGCCCCAGTTCAAAACCAACCAATTGTCATCCTACTCCACCAAAAGCTTGGGCCCGGGCTTCTGTTGGCTACTTCCCTGCCGAACTAACCACTCCTCTTGTTGGTGCATATTTTCAGGAATGACGATAGCACAAGGTGATCTGGAGCAGCAGCTGCTGCAGGCCAATCCCATCCTGGAAGCGTTCGGTAACGCAAAGACCATCAAGAACGACAACTCGTCCCGTTTCGTAAGTCTCGTCATTACAGTGCATTTGCGCTTTGAGTCGCACATCGTTCCATTGTACACTTCTTGCAGGTTGATACGGATGTGTTGTTTGCAACCGCATGGCTGTACACACTCTGCAATGGTTTGCGTATAGAAGTGTTAGCTGTGGCTATTGGTATCAGTGATTAGCTTGTTGAGATCGTGTCGTTTGTTCATGTGGCATTGCTTGCTCTCATTTGTCCTACAGGGAAAGTTCATTCGCATCAACTTCGACAACTTTGGTCACATCGCCGGTGCCAATATTGAGACTTGTGAGTGTTTGAGTTGAGGCCGATGTTGTTGCTGTGTATTCAAGTACTCTTCATCTTCCTTTCTTTTTGAATTGGACAATCATGTCGAGCGTGGCACGTGTAGACAGCTAATGTGGTCTTGCTGCACAAGGCCTGGTAGATAGACAGAGTGAAATAGCTAGCCAGTCAAAGTGATGTGTTTCTGTGTGGTGGTGTTAAAACCAGCTAGTCAGCGGAGTGGCTCGCTCCTGCCTTGGACTCTCATTTTCCTGTTGTTTGTGTTGTTGATCCTACACTGTATACCAAGAAGAATTGCTTGCTGTTGTTATGGATGTTTGCCGGCTTAGATCTGCTGGAGAAGAGCCGATCTGTGCGTCAGCAGGAGGATGAGAGGAATTTCCATTTCTTCTACCAGCTGCTGAACGGTGCCTCTGCCGAGGACAAGAGTAAGCGGCGAACATGGCTAAGTGTTGTTCTCCTTGTCCAGCGCCATGTTGGCACCCAGTTGACTGGAATGCCGTACCCTATTGCACTTTCAACTGGTTGATGTTGTTCTCTTTCTCCTCAGTACATTCTCCTTTTCTTATTGTCCGCAAACTTCAACGCAACCACTCACACAGGCATGAAACTTCACTCCTCAACTCCAATAATGGTCGTTTACTGTTATTCAATCAGTTGTTACACCCAAATTTCGGGCCTGGTCCATCATCAGGATAAATACATTCTCCTTGCGTAGTCGCTAGGACCGCAACAGCTCAGATTCCTATGTGATGTGTGCCTGTTGCCTGTCCTGCTTACAGAGGATCTGCTGCTGGACAAGCCGGAGAAGTACCGCTACCTGAGCAACGGCAACCTTGGCGTGACGGAGGTGAGCGACGTGGATGAGTACACGCTCACCCTGGAGGCCATGGAGATCATGAGCTTCAACCAGGACGAGGTCAAGTCAACGCAGCGCGTCGTGGCCGCCTGCCTCAACTTTGGCAACTTTGAGTTCAAGCAGGAGCGCAGCTCCGACCAGGCCACTATGCCAGATCAGACATGTAAGACTGGCGTCTCGCCACAGGGCTATACACACTTTACAGTGAAAGCTCGGCATGCTGTACTTCCCGGGACTGTGCACATCTGCACTTTATAGAGGAGGTACTGTGTATCCAAGAAAATGGAAGGATACCATAGTATGATAGTCGGTTGTGCAAACAGGACCTCTCATCATGTGGGGTCTGTTGGCTGCTGTTGTCGTTATTTTTAGATGCCCAGAAGGTCTGCCATCTGCTGGGAGTCAACGTCACCGAGTTTGTCAAAGTGTTGTTGAAGCCAAGGCTGAAGGTTGGCCGTGAGCTGGTCTCCAAGGCACAGAACAAGGAACAGGTATGAGATGCACCCCATGCAGATTCAACATCTTGTTGTTTCCCTTTTGGGTGGACAGTCTGAAATGAAGGTTAAGAGTTTCTGAAGAGTAAGTTAGTTACATTTAGACATGCAGGTTTTCTGTGCACCTGCGTTCCACTAAAAAGTAGGGCAAAGCCCAGGCCTAGTACACCTACATATTGCATGCAGAATAAGTATGCTGTGTTTCAACCGTTTTTAATACGTTGCTTGCCGATCCACTGAGCAGTGCTGGCGCAGATGCTGGGAGTGAATCAAAGTTGTTGCACTGTCCCCATCGTTGTTCCTTGTCTGAAGGTCGAGTTCTCATCGCAAGCACTGTCCAAGGCACTCTATGAGCGTCTGTTCAAGTGGCTGGTGGCCCGTATCAACAAGACGCTGGACCGCACGTCACGAAAGGGCTGCTCGTTCATCGGCATCCTCGACATTGCTGGATTCGAAATCTTCAAGGTAAGACTACAACAAGATGCACAGTGGGAAACCGAAAGCCACCGGTGCTTCCATATCCACACAAGTCGGGCATTCTATATACATGTAGATTGCAAGTAGTGTAGCGAGCCTATGGTTCCTGTGTGCTGTTCTTTGTGTGGGTTTGATTTGCACGATCATGCGCAACTTGCAAGGAACGGAGATCAATGGATGGTGGAATCGATTACGAGCCTTTCACCTTGCTCCTCCGTCTGTCACGACATGTTTTGCAGCTTGCATCCCATCTGTACATCTTCTTCGTTGTGTGCGTGTGCTAATAACATCGATGCGAATTGTGTGAATGATTTCTGTTCTTCGCTGTCCAGACCAACTCGTATGAGCAGCTGTGCATCAACTACACGAATGAGAAGCTGCAGCAGCTCTTCAACCACACCATGTTCATCCTGGAGCAGGAAGAGTACCGCTCCGAGGGCATCCTCTGGGACTTCATCGACTTCGGACTGGACTTGCAGCCATGCATTGACCTCATCGAGAAGGTGTGTGTCTGATGTCATGGCTGCAAGTGCATTATGAGATTGGTCCATGTGTTTGGATCAAGAATCACTCTGTGTGTCTGATGCCATGGTTGCATTATTAGACCGGTCGATGTGTTTGGATCAAGAATCACCGCTGTCTTCTTTTTTTTTCCTTTGCACATTTACTGATGAGAGTAAACCCGCAATGCCAGACACTACTCCGTGCTCACTTTGTCGCCACTTCAATGAATTGTCTTTGACCTATGCCATCCCTCTGAGGTGTCACTGTACTGCTGCCTGTTTGTTGCTGTGGTTTTCTTTCTGCTTTCTTCATGGCAATGCTGGTGCAGCTCACCTAATGCATTCCTTTTCGTGTGTTGTGTGGTGCTGTGATCCAGCCCATGGGCATCCTAGCTCTGCTCGACGAGGAGTGCTGGTTCCCCAAGGCCACGGACAAGAGCTTCACGGAGAAGTTGTTCAAGGAGCATGCGAATCTCAAGCACTTCAAGAAGCCCGACTTCCGAGCCGCCGCAGACTTCACCGTTCAGCATTACGCTGGAGATGTGAGTTTTGTTGGCTGCCTGTAATGGCCACCTAGCATGCCTCGGTAAACGTAAGTGTCGTCTAGCAAAGGACAGACTACAGTCAACTTCGCTAATAACGACTGCGGATATAACGACAATTCGCGAATAACGACAACATTTCCATGCCCAGAGCAAAGTCCCTTCCAACTGTAATACATATAATGAGACTTCGGGTATGGCGACGCTTCGCGAATAAGGACAATTTTCTGATTCCCCGCCGAGTGTCGTTATAAGCGAAGTTGACTGTACTGCCCCTTAGCGACAACGCCACACCGCAAAAGGCCGAACAGTTTCGTTAGAGAGAGAGAGTATACAAACAAAAGTACAAATGCGTGAGGAAACAGCTCACGCTAGATCGTTAAAGCAGTAAGTATCAATCAACGGAATCACATCCGACGTATCCGCCAGAGTGGCCGGCGCCGTAGCCAGCAGCTGTGCAGGCGAGGCAGGTGCCGGGGACGAAGGTTCATCTGACATATACGGTGCGAGGACTGCGGGGTGCTGTGCCGCACGGCGGACTCTGCGACGCTGCCGGGAGCGGCGAGACCGACGGCGGGGTCGGCGAGGCGGCGGAGGTGTCGGAGGTGCCGGGGATGCCGCAGGACTAAGAGTGGGAGACGGTGGGTTGGCGGGGAGAGAACACTCCCACCCTGTCATTGCAAAATACACCGAAGTCGGTGACGCTGCGGCGCGACAACTAGGATAGAATACAAGAAGGGGAAAAAGAGGGAAAAAAACACAGAAACGATTAGCAGGAGCACACAGTCTCAGCCAGTTACCACCCCGTCCATGCGAGCTGACCTTGCCCAGCCTCTAAGGCGGCTTAACCACCTGGCGGCAACGCACATGAACATTTGGGCCGGGGTGTCCCTGGCTGTGCCAGAGGAGCAGGAGAATCCGGGGGTGAAGGAGGAGGTGTGGGGACCAAACTTTGGGGCTGAACCATAACGCGAGATTGTACCACAGGTGGGGGGGGGGGGGGGGGGGGCACTAAACGGGGCGGGCAAAACAATCGATGGACCCCATAGAGGGAATCGCCGTACTTACAGGCAGAGATACACCCTGCTGCAACCCTGGGGGAACCACTACTTTGCCATGTACCGCCCTTAACCGATCGGAGGGGGTGCACCGTCAAATGGAGGGGCGATGGAGGGGTCCCACCAGAACAATGGAACACACCCGTGTACTAAGCAAACTGTACAAAGAGACATATGTCGATCACAGGAGGTTTGATCGCCCTCAACATACGCACGAAGGGCCATCTGAATGGTGCGCTTTGCACGCTTCGCTAAGCCATCAGACTGCGGCCGTACGGGGGTCGTGCGGGACTTGCAAACCGTGCTGTACATGCGGCTAGCTAGTCACATAGTATGAGCAGCGAAGGGACCACGGCACTAAGCCCGGACCCAATTAACGACGAGTAAACGAAATACCAATCGTGACGGACTAACATCAACAAGACGCAGAGAAAAGGGGTGCTCACCTGAGGAGGCGCGACAAGTTGGGGCTTGGCCGTTCGTAGTAGGCAAGCAGCTGGGCCATACCGAGGTCGCGAAGAGACAAACGCTGACACGGTGACGAACTGAGGGTCGTCGGTGGCGAGCTGAAGACTTGGGTGCCAAATGTCGTCTAGCTAAGGATAAACAACCGCCCCTTTGCGACCACACCACACAATAAAAGACCAAACAGTTTCGTTGGAGAGAGTATATTTCGATCTGACATCGAAGAGACGACTGGATAACCGACACCGAGACAAGACGAGACAAGGGAATATTGCACAGCTTCTAGTAGCAAGCAGATGCGTACTCGTAGCATGCTTGAGGAATATACCGAGGGATGTTTGGGCAAAACGTGCATGTACATGGCCAGTTGGGATTTCTGCATTGATTTGACCAGCAGTGCGGCGTTGAAGAGGATTTTCTCTACCCGCCCGGATGTGTAGAAGCATCATACATTGTGTATGGCACTGAGGTTAAAACGTGTGGTTCTATATTGAAGCTGGTCTTCATCTGTCTTTGGTTCGGTGTCTTGTTTTCGACTGCTTTGCTTTAGGTCGGCTACACATCAGCGCAGTGGCTCGTGAAGAACATGGACCCACTGAACGACAATGTCGTCAACCTGCTGCAGAACTCACAGGACAACTTTATTGGAAACCTCTGGAAGGACACCAGTATGTACTCGTATTGCTCGACTTGTTTCCAGTGTGTAGCGGGTACTATGGCAGGACCGCCGGAAGCAGTTTTTGATTAGTCCGGTGGCATCATGGCCTTTCAGACATTGTGTATGATATGGCGGGTACACGTGCCCTCAAAAGTAGGAAACACGATCGATCATGTTGGTGGCCAAAAAGTTGGTCCGAAAATAACCTGACCAACCGGACTGGTTCCGGCGGGCCTGTATTATTGACTCGGTCTAGAGACTATCCAGAATAGATCAGCAGTAGCTCAAAACTCTGAATTGCTCTGAATTTACGAAGCTCAATACCCATTTCTTTATGATACAATTCGGATTTGGCTTTGGCAATTCCACACATTAGATCCTTCTAAACCTGACTAATTCTATAGCACTTGACTGAAACTAATGACTTACTTCAGAGGGCACATAAATTGAAAAGAACCAGCCACAACCCATTCAAGAGGATTTGGCACTGGCAGAGAGATGGAGATAATACTACTTTCCAATTGCAGTTCTGTCCGCAGATTGAGTACTTTCCAACTGCTTCAGGTTTACTGCAAACTAATAAAAGCTCAAATTGGGGAAGCTCGATTTGTTCTGAAAGGAATACTTCTAGTCTGCCAATAGACAAATGCAATGAACATCAAACTCACTACGAAGAATTCAGTGATGGTTGCTCCAAGTTGGTAAACTATGGTTGTGAGCCCTCTGCCTTGTGACAAGCCGCTATTCATACCTGATCGTGTGTGTGCCTTGCTCATGTTGTACTGGGTCCCGAAATGGACCTGGGGTCACTGGGTACTGAGTGGCTTGCATGCAGAGACCAGTATAAACGGGTGCAAAGGTCAAAGCCTGTCATGTATTGAAGGTGAAAAGGTGCCGTGAATGGTATCCGGGGAACCGCAAAGGGTGCCAGGGTACTTGAGAGGGTGGCAGCCTGGGGGCTGCAAAGGATGCCCCCAGCTGCCAGGGTGCCGTGAAGGGCACTGCAAAGATACCAGCGGGCTGTAAAGGGTCAAAGGTGCAAGGGTGCAAGTGTGCCAAGGTACCTCACATACATAACAAACAACTAACTAATTTACTTACAAAGCAAATAAACAGTAAAGCACAAATCCTGCAGCACGGATTTTCACAATGCTTGCTTGGGGAAGAGCTCCAGGGCCTCGAGATGTTTCTGGGATGTTTGGGAGCAGTCATGGTTTTGGAGCTGAGCTGTGCTGAATCCAATCTCCTTTTCCACTAGTTAGGGAGGAGTGTTTTAGAGCTGAGCTGTACTGAGGAACCCACCTCCTTATCCACTAGATTGGCAGGAGTGTTTTGGCCTAGTTTTGGAGCTGAGTTGTGCTGAAGACTTATCTCCTTAGCTACAAGTGCCACTGCTATCACAGTAGCCTCTCCATTGTCATGAGAATGCTGTGGAAAGCTTGCCATGCTAGTTGCTGTGTTCATAGTTTGCCAAGAGTCTCATGATCGGAGAAGGGTTTTTCCCATGTCATATACCTGGTGGATCTGTGATACCAACTGTGTGTGTGCAACTATGTGCTCATCTGCTGCTGCTGCCGCGCGCAGCCAACCTGGTGAGCATCGCTGCCGCTGGTGGAAACAGCGGTGGCGGAGACGGTGGTGGTGCTTTCGGCCAGAGCCGTACTCGCAAGGGCATGTTCCGCACCGTTGGCCAGCTCTACAAGGAGCAGCTGTCGCGCCTGATGGAGACGCTTCGCAACACCAACCCGAACTTTGTGCGATGCATCATTCCAAACCACGAGAAGAGGGTGAGTTTGTGCATTGGCCTGCAGATGAAAGTGAATTAGCGGGATCGGTTTCCAGGCAAATCATTCTTTTATTTCATTTTTTGCAAAATTACCGCACACCATTTCATGATACAAAAAAGAAGTACAGGAGTGGAACTAGGGCTGAAACAATTATACCGATAACTCGCATATCGATCGTTAAGAGTGCAATCGATAATCGTTAGTGTTCAAAACGAGGGCTAATGATTTTTTATGCATGTATATGAGTGACAGTATTCTAGTCCTTGCAATTGCACTCCATCCGATAGTGAATAGGAGTATAATCATGTACTTTCAAGCGCACTAAAATTAATTTGTGGCTTTGAAAGAGATCGGAAGAGAATACTCTTTGTCTTTTCAGTTCATTTGCGGGAAAGGTCAGAGATAAGAGCAGTTGCCGGAGGGTGATGACAAGATTCTTCGCTCTAGAAACAACATGAAATTCTCTAGGTCATGTTGATAAACCAGCCAGATGTCTACAGATGTCAACAGTGCGGTGCCACAAATTTTTAACGTAGCAAAGGTGTCGTGGAATTTCTTCATAAACTGGTGTTCGAGGTACACGGGTAGAGCCGACAAGAATTGATAAAACCAATATATCGATCGTTAATGATATTGGTTGATCGTTAAGAGTTATTGAATGATCGTTTCAGCCCTAAGTGGAACATATTTTAATGGTTGGAATAGACGGCGATGCAGGGGTGCTTCACCAACCATTGGAGTCTTGGTTTCGTTGCAGTCAATGCGCTTTACGAAGTAATCTTTGCTGCTGAAGCCAATGAGGCACTGGCGCGTTGGATTTGAAAGAGTGTTGGAGATCCAAGAATGAAGCGGGACCCTACATTCGAGGTCACCTGAATGTGTTTGAATAGTGAGCTTGATAACTGAACCACAGCGAGCTCAGTTGGGATGGATGCAAAGCAACTGGAGCTCGAGCAGCTGAAACATATTGGCAGTTTGTCAAAAGCTGTATCTTTCTAGCATTGATTTTTCATGGCTAAATTCGAATTTGGTAATTGCTGCAACTCGTCTTGTTCGTATTTTTTGTGTACCCTTACAATCTGTGCTAGGCCGGTCGCATTGCATCCCACCTTGTGCTCGACCAGCTTCGCTGCAACGGTGTGTTGGAAGGTATCCGCATCTGCCGACAGGGTTTCCCCAACCGCATCCCGTTCCACGAGTTCAGGCAGCGCTATGAGCTGCTCGTGCCGGGTATCATCCCCAAGGGCTTCATGGACGGACGGAAAGCGGCGGAAAAGATGGTGAGTCCATTGACAATCCTTTGGGGGCTTTTCTGCCAAGGACATCATGCAGTGGGGACCCAGTTCCACAATGAATGCCATTGTCATTCAAGTGAATGAACATGCCATTACTATACAGTCCTGACAAGAAGCATTTCCAACATGGAACAGCTGCATGCGCAGTATGTAGATTACATCACTGCATGTCCTGTGTTTGTGTGTGTGTGTGTGTGTGTGTGTGTGTGTGTGTGTGTGTGTGTGTGTGTGTGTGTGTACTGTGTTTGTGTACAATCATGTAGCTGGAGCACATTGAGCTGGACCAGAACCAGTACCGGGTCGGACACACCAAGGTGTTCTTCCGCGCCGGAGTGCTGGCTCGGCTCGAGGAGGACCGCGACATGAAGCTGAGCGAGATCATCACTCTGCTCCAGGCACGATGCAGAGGAATGCTTGCCAGACAGTACGTACTCCTGTTTGTAATAGTTAGATCACACAAGCAAATAGTTATCAATAAAATAGTATGAACAGTCGAGAGCAAAGCAAGAACTTCCTGCTCAGCAATCAGCCTTGGCACGCGTAGGCTTGCATGCATCCATAAGTGGTATAGTAGTGACGTTATGTGACGTCATCATAGCAATATCACAATGTTGTTATGGGCTGTCCCTGCATTTTCTTGGTTCACATCACGAAAACACTGTGGTCAAGAATGCATCCTAAGATCTTACCTTGGTCAGGCGAAGAAGTTCCCCCGAACCATGCAGGGGTTTCTCCGTTGCCTATTTGAACGTGGGTGACAAGGTTCTTGCTGGTACATGATGCATTCCGATCAGATGTTCCGTGGTGTTGCACAGCCACGGTTACGCACGGAGTCGTTCAGAATCATGCGGAGAAAGAGCCAATGTTAGAGGTACATTTTGACTGGTCCAATGCTCCCGACTGTCAAGTTCTGAACCTGTCAATATGAACTGTGTATGTTCACTGCCAACCGGGTTGCCGCTCTTTCTAATTGTTTGTGTGTGTGTGTGCGTGTGTGTGTGTGTCCGTAGGCAATTCAAGAAGCTCATTCAGCAGGTGAAAGCCATTCACGTCATCCAGCGCAACTGCCAGGCGTACCTGAAGCTGCGCAACTGGCCATGGTGGAAGCTCTTCACCAAGGTCAAGCCCCTCCTGCAGGTCACCCGTCAGGAAGAAGAGCTGGAGAAGAGCCAGCGGGAGCTGTCGCAGCTGCAGGAGAAGCAGCTCAAGAGCGAGCAGCAGCTTTCAGACCTGCAGTCACGCATCGACGCGGCCAGCGCCGAAAAGAACACGCTCTCCGAGCAGCTGACCATGGAGCAGGACATGCTGATGGAGGCTGAGGAGGTACGCCCTGTGTTCCCTGCAATCCTTTCGATGCCAACGTGCATATGCAACATGTCCACTTTGAGCTGCTCGCCCTCCATGTTCTTGCTTTAGCTCGTCTTTAGTTGCTTGCCATAGGTGTATGTAGATGTCTCAGAGCCATGCTGCAGTGCATAAAAATCACAGTGTGTGTATGCTGTGTCCTGACCCCCATGCACACAACCATCCAGCCAGCACTAGTAGGTTGGAGAAAAAGCCTTGAACAAGAGCGGGCGCAGTGTAATAATGCTAGTGTTACAGGAGTAGATATATTACTACTGTGCACCGTACACATGAGTACCTATATAGCAAGAGTACGTATATAACAGTGCATTTTGTTTTCCTGTGTCTAGGCCCGCAACCAGCTGTCTCAGCGCAACACGGAGCTGGAAGAAGTGCTCCACGAGACCGAGGCTCGTCTGGACGAAGAAGAAGAGCACGCTAAACAGCTCGGAAGTGAACAGAAGAAGCTGCAACAGAAGATTTCCGACCTGGAGGAAGGGTGAGTGACATTGACTGACTTCATGTTCTTGGTGTGTTTGAACCGTGTAGGTGAACATCAGTGTACGGTAACGCGGGCTAAGTTAGCAGAGAAATCTTCAGCAATTTATGAACCTATAGAAAAGAAAAGGACCAAGGAACTACAAGTTATGCTAGAATGTCCACTAACACCACCAGTTACTAAACAATCAGCTCATGCGATAACATTGCACGACACTGACCGACGGAATTTATGAACCAGCCCGATTTTTCACTGCGGGGTGCGTGTGTGTGTGGTGCTGCTGTGGACACAGTGTGCGTGGCCAGTGTTGTTTATATTGTTTACGAGTATTTTTCTCGTCATGTGAATGCACTCGCTGGTGTACTATGTGACATGGTGCACTTGCCCATCTAGTCTCCTCTATTTTGAGCACACACGACGGTGTGTGCTGTGTACTTGCGCTCACAGAGGTGTGCACTGTGCACTTGCACTCATAGAGTTGTGTTCTTGGTCTGAATGGCCACCGTACCTAACACTGTGGAAAGGAGAAGCTAACACTGTGAAAAGGAGAAGGACAACATGTTACGAGTTATGACTAACTGTCCACCAACGTAACCAGATCTTGTACAGTCAGCGAGTGCGACAAAAAACTCGTAACATTTTACTCCTTCTCCTTTTCACAATAATTTAATTGGCTCACCATCCGAGTTACATTTTGTACCTACTAACACTGTTACTTGTTTTGTTTTTGTCGTTGACAGTATGTCGGAAGAAGCAACGGCGAAGCAGAAGGTTCATCTTGACAATGTCGCCTTGGAGGCGAAGGTCAAGGGACTCGAGGAGCAGACCGCTGGTGCAGAGGAGCAACTGCAGAAGGTGGGTGATGGCGTGTTTTGCTTATCATGCAACCAGTACTTTTTTTGGTGTGCAAAAGGCGATAATTCTACGCCGTGAGTAGTGAAATACCCTTGATGTGTGCCATTGATGTTCGGATTATTGGTTCATAGCTTGACGGCGGTCATTTTCCGCATTTCTCTGCCTCTTCCTTCCTCGTCTGCGCTACAGCTCGCCAAGGAGCGTAAGCAGCTCGAAGAGCAACTCGTCGAGACAACCAGCGCCCTCACCAACGAGGCCGACAAGGCAAAGAGCTTGGCCAAGCAGAAGAACCGTGGTGACGCCGCGCTTAGCGACCTGGAGGGTCGTCTTCAGCATGAGGAGAAGGTGAGCTCAGCTTCTTTACTTCAGTAACCCTGAATCTTTCGTTCTCGGCACCGGGTCGGTGGAAGCATTCAACAGACTATAGACAGCTCATGAATGCCTGTATGGTAATTAGGTTATTGTTTGCTGCGTTCCGTTACTGTACGCACGGTTTATCAGGGTTGTGCATGCAATTCACACATCATTATATCTCCATTGTCCTGTCTGTTTTCCCTGTAGGCTCGTCAAGAACTCGACAAGACCAAGAGAAAGTTGGAGGTCGAGCTTCGTGACCTTCAGGAGCAGCTTGCTGAGGCTCGCCGACAGATCCAGGAACTCGAAGCCGCTCTGAAGCAGACGCAACAAGAGCTCCAGGCCGCCAATCAGAAACTCGAGAACGAGCTGACGGCCAAGGCAGCACTCGAGAAGGCAAAGCGACAGCTTGAAAGCCAGCTTGCCGATCTTCAGGAGGACTTTGAGACTGAGAAGAGCGCTCACGAGAAGGCCGAGCGTAATCGCCGTGGTTTGCAGGAAGTGAGTTGAGCATTGGCGTGTTGATAGCAGTGGTATGTCATGTGCATGAGAGAGAGGGTATTGAAAGCCTTCGACTGTGATTCGCACTACCGTCTTTCCACCCATACGTCACCAGGATGGTCTTTGCTAGGGTATAGCTGAGTGGTTAGAGCATTGCTGGCCTCAAGCGAGTCCTGGTGGTGACAGTCATTTCTTCCCCTTTTCAGTCCCCTCAAATAATGAATATGGAACTTGGTTGTTGTACTGCTGTTTTTGAAATGGTTTCGTTTACCGACTGTACATTCTGTGCATGTATGTGTATGTGTGTGTGTGTGTGCTCACAGGAGCTTGATGTTCTTCACAACGAGTTGGAAGAGCAGGTCAGCGGCACAGCCGCTGCTCAAGAGGTCCGTGCGAAGCGCGAGACCGAGCTGACGCAGATGAAGAACGCCCTCGCCGAGGAGCAGCGCGAGAAGGAGGCCGCCATCACGGAGCTACGCGAGAAGAACCACCGGCAGGTGGACGAGCTGCAGAACCAACTGGACAACGTCAACAAGCAGAAGCAGCAGTCCGACAAGAGCAAGCAGCAGCTGACGAAGAAGATCGGCGAGCTGGAGGGCGATCTGTCCGCCATGACCGCTGCACGCAGTGATCTTGATCGTAAGAAGAAGGCACTGGAGAGCCAGCTCGGCGAGGTCACGTCGAAGAATAACGAGAACAGCTCTCTGGTGGAGGAGTTCCGTGCCGGCAAGACCAAGATGAGTGTGAGTGTGATAGTTCTTTTCTTGTAGATCATTAGCTCATAACCTGTCAGCACTAATGGTATCCTGGGCCAGGCAGTTAGCCCTCACCTTTGCGTCCAATCTTTCTGCACCCCTATCCCTCTCTGCATGCAGTACCGGTGGTTTGCCGTTGAGCAAGTAGAAAAGCTAGCACTAGCTAGTGTTGTTGTGGACAACACTGAATAATTGTAATGGCGGCAAGTCTATGACAGCCGATAAAGCTAGGCGACGTGCACGGTATTATTGTGATGTCATCCGTACACGTTTTCTGGACAAGGTGGGTGCTTTCAAGAGCCTTCTGGTGCTTTGCTGATCTAAAAATACAATAAACACAGGTCAACACCCAATTCATGCTACAGGTTTGTGCACACTTTGTGCGGACTTCGTCATTGTGTGCCAGATCTATTGCTATCAATGTTTGTCGATTGCTCCTGAAAATATAATTGATTCCGATATCCCCTTGCTTCTCATTGCCGCGTGTTCTGGGGATATTCTTCTCTTGTGTACAGAGCGACTTTGAGTCTGCAAACGCGCGTATTGTCGACCTGGAGGCTCAAGTTCAGGCTCTGGAGCGTGCTAAGCACACCGCGGAGAGTCATCTGACCGAGGCGCAGGTGAGTGGGCAGTCACTGCTTGATGCCACTGTGCCAGCATTCAGGATGTCTTTTTTTAGCCTTGCCTCCCCTCGTCCGTGTGATATCACCCACTTGCATGTTCCTGCAGTGTGGTGCAGGGCACTAAGCCTTGTCTATTTTGAAACAAGATCAAAAGATTGTGTGTGGTCCTACTTAGCTTGAATGGTGATTAGCTCCAGGTTGCCTACTAGTATGTCGTTGCCACTATACCGGCCACGCCTTGGCGCTGTGTACAGCTTCCTATACTGGGGGGGGGATAATACTCGGCGCAGTCACAAGTCACACATCCCAGCAGCCAGACTAACACCAGTCCTGCTGCAGTTGTGCATGCTCATCAAATAATGTGCTCCTTGTGCTGTTGTGTGTCGTGTCCTGCAGGAAACTATCGACGAGGACTCCAGAGCAAAGTCCTCGCTCAACGCCAAGGTGCGCAGCCTGGAAGGCGAGGTGCTCCGTCTCAACGAGGCCCTCGACGACGAGGAGCAGTCGAAGACCGAGTCTGCTAAGCAGATGGGCAGCGTCAACACTCAGGTCAGTGCGCAGCGTGTTGCTGGAGGTTGTCTATATCTCCTATTCCAACTACAGTGAAACCTGTGTAAGACGACCGCTCAAGGGACCCTCAAAACGTGGTCTCTGTAACCAGGTGGTCTCCTTATCCACCAGGGTCATTTGACTGGAAATAGCATCCCTTGGTGCTGGTTTCAGTGGTCTCCTAGGGCAGGTGGTCGCCTTATCCGAGTGGTCTTCTCGACAGATTTTACTGTAAAAGCTATAGAACATAGCATACTAGCCTACTACGATTGTCGTTTATAGTTTGAGAATCTCTGATCTTCTAGAAGTTCTCTTTGTTGGTGAGCCTCGCTTTGGTTATGATTTGTTTCACATAGCCTGTAGTATGCTGTGCAGACCGTTTGCATCTCCTTGCCTTGCTTGGGTGTAAACTGGCTATTTGTATGCAGGTTTTATATTTTACGTTATGTTTATATTATATGTTTGTAGTGAGCCTGAAGTGTGTCCTTTTTATGCAGGTTTTATATTTTCTGGCCACTTATCAAGCATACGGAACACTGTAGACCAAGGACGTACATGTCGTACAGCAGGACTGTGTAGCTTATGGCAATCCTTCAGTTCCAGTTTGCTTCATAACCCCTGCACCACTGCCGTTGCCGTAGCAGTGCGTGGGAAGCACCGTTGAATTCCTGTAAGAACTCTCCTACCTGAATGCTGGCATGCGGTGTGTTCTCTTTTGCAGGTCGGTGACCTGAAGAGGCAGAAGGAGAGTGACGGCCTCCAGATCGAGGAGCTGGAGAACTTCAAGAAGAAGGCGCAGCGCGATCTGGAACAGCTCGCCAAGGAGAAGGAAGACCTCGAGATGGCCAGCAGCAAGCTCGAGAAGACGAAGAAGAGAATGTCCGGAGAGGTATGTTGTTGTGTGCGGTGCCAGAACTTACCGGAATGGTCCCTCGCCGGGTAATGGTAGGGAAGTTCTGAGTTGGCATGGCAATGGAGATAATAACATGCGCAGTGGGCATACATCTCTGTCTTGGAGGCATACTCGGAGCGCTATCTTGCAAGAAAGCCTACCTGCGTTGGGTACGGCTGCATGAGCTCGAATTCTGGTATTCGGTATCCCGTATGTTGCTAGCCTTCCTCTGAAATTCTGTTGGTTCGCTTGCTGTTACTTTGAAACTGCAGATCGACGACCTCGGTCTTGACCTCCAAGCTCAGCGAACACGCGTCACAGAGCTGGAGCGCAAGCAGAAGAACTTCGACAAGGTAAGTCACACGTACATGTACGTCATGTACGTGTAGTGCCCACACGCCATGGCTGGAATATCCAGGCAGACCGATCTCCATGCATGCTTGAAACATCCAGCGCTTCGGTAGATGCTTTCGATCCGATTTGCACCTGCATGTGTGGAGTCACTCGAAAGCATGTTTTCGTTTTGATAACAAACATGTTTTTTTGTCGTACCTGTTGCCTGTATAGTGTATGCTAGCCGTTGGATATACAGCAAAACTCCCCAGATCCGGGCAGGTTGGGACCGAGCACTGGCTCTAACTAGGAATAGGAATTGCGCGTAACTCAGAGCCTACATACTTACTGCATGATGGTAAGATTTTTATGCCAATCAATAGGACTGTTCTAGGGGCCGTTTTTCGTTGAAAAGCCAATTTCTGTGACTCTAGATGGGTCAGAAAGGTGCCCGGTAGACAGAAGTGCCCGGATTAGGGACGTTCTGATCTGGGGGAGTTTTACTGTATCATGTTCTTTGCGTGGCACCACTGTATATTAGTGGTGTGTGAAAGACTGAGCACGTATGTATTTCTGCTGTTCTGTTTGATGTGTAGACGTTGGCGGAAGTGCGCGGTCAGGCCGGTGGTGTTGGTGATGAGCGTGACGCGGCGCAGAAGGAGGCACGCGAGAACGCAACCAAGGTATGTCTTACCAGGGGCGTCGCGCACGGTACGGCCACTACGACCCATAGTCGTACCGCTTTTCGTCCGGAATGGTCCGCACGTGCACCCACCTAAAAATTTCGACCTTGGTTCAGCATGCACGTAAATTAATTGTGTCATGATGACCATGAATGGCACGCACCAGCCATCCTTCACATACATGTATACGGCTGTGCACCCCTTGAAAGGGGGACCAGCTACGCGCCTGTTCATGGTTTTGATTCTATATCCAAGATTGGTTTGGCGTTGTCTGGTACGTGGACTTGTAGCTTAGCAGTGTGCGTTCTTTGTTCTCACTTCATCTTCAGGTTATCGCACTGACTCGTCAGCTCGAGGAGGCCAACGAGAGGCTGGCCGAGAGCGAGCGCCAGCGCAAGGTAATGGCGGGCGAGCTCGACACTCAGCTGGAGTCCAAGGACGACGCAGGCCGCCACGTTCACGAGCTGGAGAAGACCAAGCGGGCACTGGAGAGCCAGGTTGAGGAGCAGCGCAACCAGATGGAAGAACTGGAGGACGAACTGCAGGCCACCGAGGACGCCAAACTGCGCTTGGAGGTGAGTATGCAGCTACGTTGTTTGGTGTAAATGATAGGGCATGGGCGCGTGGAGGGCACGGGTGAAAACATTCGACGGCGGTGAATTTCGATTGTGACCATTTGAAGGTATGAGACGGTGTCCTATTTTCAGTATTGTTTGATTCTGGGCTTGCTTGCATGTCTGTCTGGCTACATCCGATACGCTGGGCATGCTTTGCTCCCATCAGACTGCCATTCAATTCGATTTTGCGTGTTTGCCATGATGTCCTACAGGTCAATCTTCAGGCACTCAAGACCAACCTTGACCGCGAGATGAGCAGCAAGGACGAGCAGCTGGAAGACTCCCGGCGCGGTCTGCAGAAGCAGCTGCGTGACATGGAGGCCGAGCTGGAGGAGGAGCGTAAGGCCAAGAGCGGCGCGGTCAGTGCGCGCAAGAAGCAGGAGGGTGAGCTACGCGAGCTCGAGCAGGCCATCGACCACGCTAACAAGGCCAAGGACGACGCCCTGCGACAGATGAAGAAGTACCACGTGAGTGTCGCTGTCCTCTGCAGGCTCTGCTCCCTACACACACCTTGTTATGTATGACGTCATGATTATTACGTATCATAATTGTAACACTATGATTCCTTTTAGCTCATGCTAGTTGCTAGTAGTTGGTTGGGCATACTGTCCTATTCTGCTCATCCATTGACAATGTTTGTGATGTGTGTTCGTGCATGTGTGTGTGTGTGTGTGTGTGTGTGTGTGTGTGTGCGTGTGCGTGCGCGTGCGCGTGCGTGTGTGCGTGTGTGCGTGCGTTTGTGTGTGTGTGTGGGTGTGCGTGTGTGCGTGTGTGTGCGTGTGTGTGTGTATGTGTGTGTATGCATGTGTGTGTGTGTGTGTGTGTGTGTGTGTGTGTGTGTGTGTGTGTGTGTGTGTGTGTGTGTGTGTGTGTGTGTGTGTGTGTGTGTGTGTGTGTGTGTATTGTGCCGCTCCACAGACCCAGATCAAGGAGCAGGGAGCAGAGCTCGAGGAAGCGCGTGCACAGCGAGAAGAGGCCACGGGCAGTCTTCGTGATCATGAGAAGAAGGTCAAGGCCATGGAGTCCGACGTTCTGCGTCTGCAAGAGGTTAGTGTTTGATGCAGGATTCGCAGCAGTCTGGATAGAGTCTGGAAAGAGTATGAATATCAAAAATAGTTTCCAGAGTGGAAAAAAAGTATGGTATTGTTGTCTTGAGTTAGCGGTTCTGAATGTTCTCCAATCTTCTGACTACGTTGCAGCCAGCTAAAACTTTGCGTTTCTTTGCACCCCATGCAGGAACTGGCCATCTCAGATCGCAGCCGCCGCAACATTGAGGCGGAGAAGGAGGAACTCCTCGAGGAGGCTGCCGGAAACAACCCACGAGTGTAAGTGAAATCGCAGAATGGCTACTTTTTCCACTGATTGGTTGTCCTGTTCCTGTTCCTGGTGCTTGATGCATACTGCAGTGTTCATGTTGGTCAGCGAATGGCTAGGTTTTCCACTGATTGGTTGTCCTGGTCCTACTCGATATGTACTGCAATGTTTGATGTTGCGAGAAGCGACAGGTTATTTATGTAGAGCTGGTTCGGTGTAGTTTTCAAAACTATTGGCCTGTGTGTCCTGGATGTCGTGCCGAACAGCGTATATACCTCTGGTTTGGCTCTTGACTACTTTGCAGGCATGGTCTACAAGAGGAGAAGCGTCGCCTAGAAGCACGCATTGCACAGATGGAAGAGGAACTGGAGGAGGAGCAGTCGGTCGGCGAGGCCGCCGTTGAGAAGCAGCGCAAGACTCAGCAACAGGTCGACACGCTGAACGGCGAGCTAACTGGCGCCCGTGCCAATGTCAACCGCCTGGAGCAATCCAACCAGTCGCTTGAGCGCCAGGTGAGTGCCGCCACTGCTGCTGTTGCTGCTGCTGCTGCTGCTGCTGGTGTTGCTTCTGGTGTTGCTTCTGGTGTTGCTGCTGCTGTTTTTGGTGGTGTTGCTGGTGTGGTTGTTGTTGCTGCTGTTGTTGCTGGTGTTGCTGCGGCTGGTGTTGTTGATGCTGGTGTTGCTGCTGCTGCTGCTGCTAGTGTTGCTGCTGTTGCCATTGCTGTTGCTGCTGGTGTTGTTGCTTCTGGTGTTTCCTGCTAGTGTTGCTGCTACTTTTTCTTTTCTCGTATTATTATGGAGGAGTGTACGATCGTTTGTCTTCCTCCGCTTGACCTATAGCGGAACAATGTAATGTTTTTCTCTAGTGACACTGAGAGGACATCGCAAGTTCATACGTGATTCATTTCGTTCTCTGTCCATCAGGTCAAGGACCTTAGAGCGAAGGCCGAAGAGAGCGTATCGGGAGCAGCCTCCAAGAACAAGGCCGCGCTGCGCAACATGGAGAACAAACTGGCCGCGGCTGAGGAAGCTGCTGACAACGAGGCTCGGTAAGGGTGATTGCAAAGCTTACAGAGCTCTTTTGCTGGGTTAGGTGAATAGAAGTACGCACCTGGCAGCATACAATGTGAAGAGGCGGTGTGTAGTAGTATAGTATGAAACAGATGCACCGAAAGTACCGAAAATAAAAGTACATGTACACTGAAAATTTGTGAAATTACAGTACCCGCCTGGCAGCATACAATGTGAAGAGGCGATATGGAGAAGTGTAGTAGAAGCCATCCAGTGTTGTGGGGCGATGCATCGGCTGAAATGGATTTCTTTACCATCACAGTCCTTGATGTGTTGATGCATAATATGTGTTTGTGTGTGTGTGTGCGCGCACGCGTGTGCGCGTTTGTGCATGTATTTGATTGTGTTGGTACGCGTGTTTGTGTGCGTGCAGCGAGCGTGCAGCTCTCCAGAAGGCAAACCGTCGCATGGACCGCAAGGTCAAGGAGCTGACCGGCGCAGTCGAAGAGGAACGCCGTCACGCTGAACAATTCAAGGACCAGGTGAGTCAGGAGACCGAATACGCCAGCACATTCGCTTTGCTGACCTATTCCCAATTGCCTGCCAATGGACCCATTGCGCAATGACTTTGTACCATAAACACCCTTCACGGCCACCTGGGCATGGTCGTCTGGGGTGTTGAACAGTGCATTCCTGATCCCTGCGTACTCACAAGCATTACTCATACATTCCATATTTGGCAATGCGCAATGGGTCTATGGATGTGACTGTCAGGAATCTTGACCTTGATCAGCTGTGAGGATACTAGTATGTGTATGTCGGTCCTAAGGTTGACACCATGTTAATTCCTGTTCATGCTCCTGTTTCGTGTCACAGAACGACAAGACGCAAGCTCGCCTGAAGAGTCTGAAGAGGCAGCTGGATGATGCTGTAAGTGCTGGTGTCCTCTGTGTGTGTGTGCGTGCGTGCGCGTGCGTGCATGTGCGCACATGTGTGTGTGTGTGTGTGTGTGTGTGTGTGTGTGTGTGTGTGTGTGTGTGTTTGTGTGTGTGTGTGTGCTAAAAATAGTGGCGGTCAATTCATCAGCCTTGCAAGCTGTTGAATGGTGTAATCCCAGCACAAGTTGCTATGTCTAACACAGCTGTTCGCTATCATCGCTTCCGCGATGGGCATGTCTGATGTCTGAGGTCTGAGGTCTGAGGTGTGTGTGTGTGTGTGGGGGGGGGGGGGGGGGGGTGCGTGCGTGCGCGCGCTTGTGTGTGTGTGTGTGCGTGCGTGCGTGTGTACACATGCATCCTGTCGTGTCTGTTAGATTATCGTGTACGAATACGCGATGTTGTTGCATGGGCATATCCAGTGCACATGTACATGTACGTGTCTGACCATGGTGTAGCACATGTACATGACGTGTCTGACCATGGTGTAGCAGAGTAGATCTACAGTGTATGTTATAATACAGATTTGTTTGCGGAGACTTGTCTCATTGAGTATGAACACGGAAAAAGGCGTTTGTCAAACACTGCCTACCTCTTACCTTGTGGACGTGTGTGTGTGTGTGTCCACGTGTGTGTGCGTGCGTGTGTGTGTGTGTGTGTGTGTATTATGTTATTGTGCCGCTGACAGGAGGAGGAGACCACCCGCCTCAACAATGCCAAGCGTAAGCTGCAGCGTGAGCTTGACGAGGCACAGGAACAGCTGGAACAGACACAGCGGGATATGCAGCGTATGCGTAGCTCTAGATCCGGGTACGTGACCACCGAATATGGTTGAATAGTGCAGAGTATTGCTCTATAACTTGTTGTTATACACCGAATATGGTTGAATAAGCCGTATAGCGCACCCAGAGTATTGCTTTATAACCACCAGATAGGAATGAGCCGTATTGTGCACACAAGAGTATTGCTTTTTTCTCTATAAACACCGGATAGGATTGAATGAGCCGTAACGTGCAGGGCCGGAGGAAGGAGTTCGGGAGTGGTCCGGCCAACCTTTGAGGGGGGTCCGGGGACCTCCCCCGGGAGAAATATTTAAAATTTACGAGAAATAGAGCGAATTTGGGCATCTCTAAGGCTCCAGAAAATGCAGAAAATTATAGTAAAAGAACACAAACACAACTTTTTTTATCCATATCAGCCATACAGTGCCGGTCACGGAGTCCTGAGCTACTTCGAAGCACATCACACGTCAGCAGACAGTCGAGTCATGTACCTCTGGATTTTTTTACACCGGTTTTGCACGAATCACATGGATCATCCAGCTGGGAAAGTGGTCCGGCCATGGCCGGACCAGCCTGACCGGTTCCGCCGGCCCTGACGTGTGCAGAATATCACGTTTCAGGAAGGCTGTACCTCTGCTGTAGGCTAGCTATTCCTCAGCATACTGTTGGCAGTGGAAGCATACTGTAAGAGGCATGCCAATACAACGAGGAAGTAAATCTAACGTGTTACCTAGTTACATTTCTTCGTCATACTGTATGTCAGCACATATTCGGCGCATATTTATTTTCGGCTATTTTCGGCCTGATCATATTTGGACGAAAATTTGTTGCAGCCGAAATTTTGTTTTGCAATGTTCAGCGTGACAGTGTATACAGGCAGCAGCAGTACAGGCCGAAAATTTGTTGCAGCCGAAATGTGTTTTAGCCCAGGGAGGCGTAAACTTTGAATGGGCCGAAAATTTGTCTGTGCAGTGGCAGAGCTGCAGGGAGGGATTCGCATGATTGTCTGCGGTGGATACACGGGTTTTTGCTGCGCTCGACGCATGCACACCGTGCAAGCAGGGGTAGCACAGGCCAACTTGAACTGACTGCAATGTGCCCCACAGCGTGATGCTGAATTGATGCAAACGGTGTGTGTGTGTGTGTGTGTGTGTGTGTGTGTGTGTGTGTGTGTGTGTGTGTGTGTGTGTGTGTGTGTGTGTGTGTGTTACGCCTAACCATCGACATACGCATCCCATTAGCCGTTTATCCAAGGATGATGATACTATGAAGTATGTGTGACTCGAGATGGGACATGACAATACACTTGCATATCTAACCTCGTATGGCATCGAACCTGACTCTGAAGAACAGAGCACTCGGAAATCCTGGCAATCTTGTAATGAGCTGGGTAGCGTGAACAAGAGGACACTCGACTGTTGGATAAACAACAGAAACCAGCCGTAACAACACCAGCACCACTCCGATAATAATCTGCTAATGTTGTAATAACCTACTGTCAAACCTAATCTGCTAATGATCTAACGTGTATGTACGGTGCTCGTACGTGCTCCCCTCCCACCCTCAGGCCTGCTGCTAGCAAGACGTCACGTACGTCCATTCCTCGCGTGTCCGGTCGCAACGCCGAGCCGGCGGCTGATGCCACCGACGAGGAAGAGGAGTAAACGTGACTGCTGCTGACGTTGTGCACCCTCATCTCCTGTGTGAGTGCACTGCACCTCCTCCTCCCCGCGCACTACCCACTACACACCAGCACTCGGCACTGCTTAGGATTTTAGCCGCACCGGAGCACCCGTCCACGTTCGCCATCACACTTTTGTGCACACCGAGATATTCTTTGCACTCGTCTTTATATCATTTCCTTTTTTAAATACGGTAAAACCTGTCCTAACCCGACGACGCCCTTGGTGGAGCGGGAACTGTTCTGATAACAGTTATGCCGAGATTCCATTTGGCCCAGGGATGCACGTTCCATCCACAGCACGTCAGTGCATGAAATTTGTTCTGTCAATGCAGAATTTCCGCTTGGTACGGGTTCTGGCAAACACAGGTTTTATCGTATGGCAGTGGTCTTTTGTACCAGGGGACGGAGGGCCGAATCCTGCCACATGTATGTGCAGTGCTTGCTGTAGTTAATTGATGACGATTGTAACTCACATACTTTCCGTCCTGTACTATCTCCACCCGGACACTTCTCCACTCCACGTTTATTCTGTGCGTACGATTGAGGCCCCCGTATTGGCATGGATTCTCGCTTGCTCCGGTGACTATGCCTAATGGCCTAATCCGGATGTGTGACTTCTAATGCTCCTTGATGATACTCTAACTAATCATGATTGGATGACGAATGACCACGACTAGCTTAGCGCCACGCTCCAGCAGAGCTCTACTTGCCGGGTCGAGTGACTGCAATGAACACTGCTGTAATTGCCTGACGAGAACGAATGATAAGGAACTCTCTTGATTGTCTGTTGTCGTGTTACTTGCCGTGCTCTGTTTCCGTTCGCAGAACGACGTCTTCTCGTTCTGGCGGCGGCGCATCGGGCCGTCGCTATCGCGGACGGGAACGAGATGAGGGCGACGACGCAGATGATGCAGAGGACGTCTAGGCCGACGGTCGCCACCTCCGCCGCCTCTCTCTTGTCGTTCTCTTCCGTGTACTTGTGTGTTTGTGTTTGTACATGTACGTGTGTGTACCCTGCCTTATATGGATATATTAGTGCTTCCGCTGCTGCTGGTGCTGCTTGCTCCTGCTGCGGTGCGTTCTTGCCGGGCGGTTTGGTGCACCGATTGGGTGCCACCACACTGCACGCATTCTCTCTTCCTCCTAGGACACCTTCCCCCGGTTTCGGAGTGACTTTGCTCCCTGTGGAGCTATACAGCATGTGCGGAAGCCTGCCGTTGCATTTATCTCTTGTTCTCCTAAAACAACCGTCACCGCTACATCTTTCTGACGTTGGCGTATTATTATTGTTCTTCCCCCTCTTCTGTTTTGCCGTCTCTCCCATGTGCCCTTTCTTTTGTTCATCCTGCGCCTTGTGACGCACACGTTGCCAGGCTGCCTGTACTCGGTGCAGTGCGAAGCGAAACTCTGGCCCGTGTACATGCAACGTGCAGCTAGGGATTGCTTGCTGCTTGGAACACAAGCCCAACATGACATGGATATGATGTGCGCAGCTTGCTTCTAGTTTACATACCACTGTACACTGCTTTTAGCTCTTTTATCATTTTTAAAATCAGTGCATCTTGCGAGGACATGGCCGTGGGCCGTGCAAGCTTTGGACTGTCGCTGCATGCTCCACAACGACAGCCATTGCAGTGGCGTTCCAGCCGATAGCCACTCCTGTTTATTTTTCTACGCTTCCCGCTTCACGTTTTGCATTTTTGAAACATAGACAACCGCTATTGTAGACCTGACTATGTGCCATCGAATATGTTCTCCTTCTAAAGCTCATCTACAACCATTGTACCACTACTGACTAAGTAAAAAAACCTGTACCGTTAGCTTTCCACATTACACTATACCGTGCATCTGTGTGTGTGTGTGTGTGTGTTTGTGTGTGTGTGTGTGTGTTTGTGTGAAAAAAATGAAAAATCGGGATTCACTGGCCAGAAAAAGCCACTTCAATCAGCTGTGTGGTGGATACCAGGCTAAAACTAGTGGCGGTATCAGCCTTGCAAGCTGTTGAATGGTGTAATCCCAGCACAAGTTGCCATGTCTAACATAGCTGTTCGCTGTCATCGCTTCTGCGATGGGCATGTCTGAGGTCTGAGGTGTGTGTGTTGGCTGTTTGCCTTTGGACATGTAGCCTGGCAGGCATTGTGTGTGCGCGCGTGTGTGCGCGCTTGTGTATGGGGCGGGGGAGAGAGAGAGAGATGCATGTGTGTCACAAACCTCAAGACCTTCCGGCGCATAGCTGTTGGTTCAAACAGTTCCTCCAGCTCCCAGACTTTTACACAGTACTGGATTTGTACAGGGAAACCACAAGCTCCACCTGGTGGAGCGCAAAGCGACAAAAACAGAAGAAAAAAAGGTAATACATTCTAAAAGTATCCATGAACGTGACTGCACATTTCAATTGTAATACCACAGCAAACATACAAAGTTAATGTTGGACTGACCTGGTAACCTGTGCATGCCTATACAGTCATTGTCATGTACTAGTATGTGAGGGTATCTCCATTACTACACAAGGTACAGCCATCTAATACTAATAATAGGAGAGGGCAGTACGAAAATGGTTTCTATCTCTATGTAACGACACACATGTTCCAGTGATCTTGGGAGACAAACTGCCAGATGGGAAAAGCTCAAGAGGATTTAACAAAAAGCTTCGGTAAATCGAAAGCATTAGCGGAACAAGTATGACACGTAGTTTTTTGCTTTATGGTGTTAAGTGTTTGTACTGAGTGCACAACTCACTCTATTCATTGTGCTACAAGTAATTTTTCGCTAACTAAGAGCATATGTGCAAGCCGGAAATCAAGCATGGTGCCCTTGAAGAAATTCAATGTTTGCCCTGCTATTGGTCTGACGGCATTACTGAACCTTCAGCAGGCAGGTTGGTGGTGCACGCTGCTGTTGTGGTAGCTGCTGCTGCCGCCGCCGCCACCGCAGCTGCTGCTGTTTCTGCCGCGGCCACCAGCGCGGACAGGTCGATGCCAGCGGAGGCAATGGAAGCGGTGAACGGCGACTGAGTGGTGTCGGCAACACTGGACAGGGACTGAGACAACATCGTAGTGCTGATGACAGGCAGTATGGGAATGGGCAAGGCAGGAGGAGCGCTCGTGCTTGGAGCACCCACCATAGAACATGCTAAATCAGTGGAGACGTGATCGCCAGCAGCAGTGGAAGCAGTAACAACGGTATCAGCCATAACGGAAAGAACTTCAGTAGCGACAGCATCCGCTGTAGTGACAACATCGGCTGTAGTGACCACATCTGCTGTAGTGATAACATCTGCTGTAGTGATAACATCCGCTGTAGTGGCAACATCCGCTGTAGTTACAACATCCGCTGTAGTGACAGCAACAGTAGTAGCAGCAGCAGTGTCAGCTGCAGCAACAGTAGCAGCAGCAATGTCAGTTGTAGCAACAGTAGCAGCAGCAGTGTCAGCTGCAGCAACAGTAGCACCACAAACAGAGGAGGTAGCAGGGGCGACAGAGGAAGTAGCAGACGGGACAGCAGAAGCAGTAGTGGCAGCAACAGGAGTAGCAGCAGTGTCAGCTGTAGCAACAGGAGTAGCACTGTGACAAACAGAGGAAGTAGCTGTAGTGACAGCAGCAGAAGCAGTAGCATCACCGGCAGCAACAGTGGTTGATAAGCCAGCCGGTACCTGCTGCAAGGCGAGATCGACATCGACACTCTCCGGGATTTCGGCCCGGTTCGTATCGACGATGACATCGGACGTACGCCGTAGCGGCGCGGTGATATTATGCTGAATACGACGGTGCCGGATCAAATTACTGCTGTCCGCGAACGACTTGCCGCACGACTCCACCGGACAGGTGTATGGTTTCTCTCCGGTGTGCGTACGCTTGTGCACGATGAGAGCGCTGGAGTTGCAGAACGTCTTGTTACACTGGTCGCACTGGTGCGGTCGGTGGCCGGTGTGCGTGCGCAGGTGCACCTGCAGACCGTCCTTGCGACGGAACGTCTTGGGGCAGTGCTCGCAAGCGAACGGCCGCTCCGCGCTGTGCACGACCATGTGATCTTTCAGGTAGTCGCGGCGCTTGAAGGTCAGTCCACACTCCTCGCATGTGTAGAGCTGCGCTGGGTCATGCAGTTTCATGTGCTGCCGGAGGTAGCCCTGCAGAGCAAAGCTGAGGCCACACACCGTGCACTTGTGATCCTTCTCGCCGCTGTGCAGTTTGCGATGCTTGCTAAGAGAGCTGGAGCTGTAGAAGGTCTTGTCGCACTCCGTACACGAGTACGTGCGCTTCTGCTCGTCGCTCAGATGCTGCTGCTCGTGCACCAAGCGACTGCTGCTCGTGCGGAACGTCTGATCGCAGTAGCGGCATTTGCACGGCCGCGAGTCCGTGTGGATGCGCTCGTGCATGGCGTGTGAGTGGCGCAGCATGAACTTCTTGTGGCAGAACTGGCACTCGAACGGCATCTCGCCGGTGTGGTGCCGGAAGTGGCAAGTGAGCGCCTCCTTGCGCTTGAAGACCTTGTCGCACTGCGTGCACGCGTAGGTGGGCCGCGGCGGCGTGTCCTGGGTCGGATGGTGCCTCTTGACGTGGTTGTGCAGGTAGGACTTGATGCGGAAGGTCTTGTCGCACTGCGAGCAGGCGTGCACCTGATCGGTGTTGTGCAGTGCCATGTGGTGCGACAGGCTGGTGCGGTCGATCAGCTTCTTGCCGCACACCTCGCACGGGTACTCCTGGCGCTCCGAGCGCTCCAGGTGCGTCCTCTCGTGGATGGCCAGCACGGAGCGCAGGCGGAACTGCTTGCCGCACGTCGCGCACTGGAACGGCCGCTCGTCCGAGTGCGTCATCTTGTGATAGGCCAGGGCGTGGCGGCGGCTAAACTTGGCCGGGCACAGGTCGCACTCAAACGGCTGCTCGCCCGTGTGGATGCGAACGTGGCCGACGAGATATGAGCGCCGCAAGAACTTGGCGTCGCACTGCGTGCAGTGGAACTTGCCGTCCGCCTGCCGCGGATACAGCTGTGCATTGATCGCTCGCTGAGAGGCGTACAGGGCTTGTGCAGATGGACTTGTGTCCGCGTGTCCACCAGTGCTCTGACCGCCACCATCCTCATCACCATCATGATCAACAAAGGAGAATGTTGAATCTTGGTCTGCGTCTGCGTCGTCACGGAGCATGTCATGCTCCTCGCGTAGCTGCTCGGCTGACAAGGCCTCACCAGCAATCTCGTCTTCGTCCTCTAGCGTTGGCAAGTAGTCTGAATCGTTTCCATCATCCATGCTCTCGACCGCCTCGTCGTCGACAACCAGTGCTGTGGATGGGGACGTCACTGTGCTAGTAGCAACTTCAGCAGCCCGTGTAGCAACTGCTGTGGATGATGCAGCAGCATGTGTGGGTACTGCTGTGGATGATGCAGCAGCATGTGTGGGTACTGCTGTGGATGATGCAGCAGCATGTGTGGGTACTGCTGTGGATGATGCAGCAGCATGTGTGGGTACTGCTGTGGATGTTGCAGCTGCCCTGCTAGCGACAGCAATGGATGATGCAGCCGCCCTTGTAGCTACTGGCACGGATGATGCAGCCGCCCTTGTAGCTACTGGCACGGATGATGCAGCCGCCCTTGTAGCTACTGGCACGGATGTTGCAGCCGCCCTTGTAGCTACTGGCACGAATGTTGCAGCCGCCCTTGTAGCTACTGGCACGGATGTTGCAGCCACCCTTGTAGCTACTGGCACGGATGTTGCAGCCACCCTTCTAGCGATAGCAATGGACGGTGCACCTGTTCTGCTAGACACGGGTGTACACGATGAGGTAGCTGTTGTGCTAGCTACAGCTCGAAGTGACGACGTTGCTTTCCGCGGAGAAGTCGCCCGTGCCGCAGCTGCTGAGTCGGTGCTCGCAGCAGCCACGCTCGGAGCCTCCCCGGTGGCAGGATCATCAGCGTGCACGGTGGAGATGTGCCCGATCAGCTCCAGAACTGTGCTGAAGGTCTCCGGGCACATTCCGCACGGCTTACGCCCTGCTACTGGTGCTGCTACTACCGGCTGACTTGGTGTGATACTAGCACTGCCCGCAGCACTGCTGTTGTTGGTCAGGCTACTCAGGGCAGTAGTGCGTGAGCTACTGCGCAGAGACACGCGCTTTTTGGGTGGCGTTGGGCATACCGTGCTAGAGGCCACACCACGAGTTGTTGTATTAGAAGCATTGTTTCGCTTTCTAGCCGTGGAGATAGGTGAGTTGTTTGGAGGCGTTCTCGACTGTATTCTTCTCGTAGGTGAGGAGCTTTCCAGGACAGGTGCCGTGTCTGCAATGCGTCCACTGCGAGTTCGCGATCGTTTTGCGGGCGATTCAGACCCACCATGCGTTGTAGACACCGAGGAGGATGGCTGACTTGGCATCTCCACTGTGGAAGCGGATGATGTTGCATTCTGTCGCAGTGTTGATGCCCGCAGGCGTGTTTGCCGTCGCACCGGCTCACCGGCGCCAGTTTTTGACGGCGAGGACACTGCCGCTGCATCGGGAACTATGGTTACAGTTGGGCAGCTGGTACTTGTCGGCGATACAGCGGACTGTACTGGAGAGAAGGCAGAACAGCGCTGCGCTTCTGGACTGCTGGAACCTTCAGCTTGCGGCGGGGGGATGCGCTGAAAGCCGGCCGACTCGGCTCCAATCTGAATGATTTTGCTGGGCCCGGTGGCCTGGTGGGACAGAAACACACACACACACATGTATGCACACACATGTATGCACACACATGTATGCACACACACACACACACACACACACACACACACACACACACACACACACACACACACGTATGCACGCACGCACACACACACACACACACACACACACACACACACACACATATGCACGCACGCACACACACAGGCAGTGTTAGTACTATCATGCCACCATGGTAACAAGACGTGTCTCATGGCTGCACACCACCGTTGATCTATATTAGAGAGTTTACGCTTCACGTTTTTTCAATTTCGAACGTGAGATCTCACGGCCAAAATGGCGCATCTCACGTTGAAACGTGAGATTTCAACGCGACAGCGGGCCAACTCACGGTGGAAAAAAGAGTGAGTTTATTCAAGTAATTCCAACGTTTTTGCTCAGAATCTCGGGAATCTAGATAACTCTAGTACAATTTGATTTTTTCCTTTTGTTTTCTTAACGAATCATCCTCGGGTCGCGACCCCATGACCTCATTGGCTTCTAAACGAATCAACCTCGGGTCGCGACCCCATGACCTCCTCGGTTGTGGCCAGGGAGTAGATCTCTGATCTGTTACTCACCGGTTGTGACTGCTAGCTTGCAGTTGCTTTTGTTTGGAGGAGAAGGAAGTTTATGGCTGGAAGTAACTTGCAAGCGCCATGAATAGCAGCACTGCAGCTACTACATGTAGTGGGTCAGACAAGGAGGAGGCAGCGCTTACTAGTATCCGCTGCCTCCGCTCTCCACGATCTGGAGCTATTTCTTGTTGTTCTATCGAAGAAGGACATTTTTCAAGGACGTGCTTCCAAGTTACGGGATGAGGTCGCTGCATCCCTAACGTCAATTTTCCTTGATATGCAGCGACTTGGCCTGACAGGCAGAACCTGCCGGGAACGTGTCCTGCGAGAAGTTAAAGCGTTCGTTGCGAACGACCGAAAGAGTAGGCGGAAAAGCGGGACGGAGGAGGAGTACGTGAGAAAGGACGAGCTGCTGACGGAAATTGTGGACCGCTTTCTTGCTGACTCGACGGAGAAGGCGGATGCAACTGCAGCCAAGAAGAAGCAGGCGGCGAGGGATGAGGTGGATGGAAGAAGGCTGAGGGAAGAAGCCTTGGCGTCGCGGAGGACGAATCGAGTACAGGTACCCATACCTGACGAAGGCACTGATGATTCGCTCATTTGACAATGAATTGGTATCAAAGCGACTTCGTTCGCGTTTTCTCCTCCGCTCCGGCCGAGCCTGTTGTACTTCCAATTCTTCCAGAATTGCTATGACAGCAACCAGTTCATCGTCGTCCAAACCACCAAGCCCGACTGCAGCAGCGAAGACGGCTCCTTCTTCATCATCCATTTATGGTTAGACGACAAGGCAGATCTAGTTACGTTGGTGGACAATTCGTCATAACTCGTAACATATTTTTCCTTCTCCTTTTTTTATACCAGTCTATGGCAATTATTTCCAGAGGACGTTTCCCACTTCCTTTGAATTTGTGAGCAAAATAATTAATTCTGTCGCCACTTCTTCACTTCCGAAAACTCATGTCATTTCAGCACGCGCAGCGTAAACTCTCCACACAGCTCCAACACGGTCAAATTCAACGCACGCTTTTTCTCACGTTCGAAATTGAAAAAAAACTTGAAGCGTAAACTCTCTATTGCACACAGTCAGTGACTGTAAGCAGTGCACTTGTGCTATGTATGTGCATAGCCAATGGACCTACACCATAAGTGCTATGTATGTGCATAGCCAATGGACCTACACCATAAGTGCTATGTATGTGCATAGCCAATGGACCTACACCATAAGTGCTATGTATGTGCATAGCCAATGGACCTACACCATAAGTGCTATGTATGTGCATAGCCAATGGACCTACACCATAAGTGCTATGTATGTGCATAGCCAATGGACCTACACCATAAGTGCTATGTATGTGCATAGCCAATGGACCTACACCATAAGTGCTATGTATGTGCATAGCCAATGGACGGACCTACACCATAAGTGCTATGTATGTGTATAGCCAATGGACGGACCTACACCATAAGTGCTATGTATGTGCATAGCCAACGGACCTACACCATAAGTGCTATGTACGTGCATTGCCAATGGACCTACACCATAAGTGCTATGTATGTGCATAGCCAATGGACCTACACCATAAGTGCTATGTATGTGCATAGCCAATGGACCTACACCATAAGTGCTATGTATGTGCATAGCCAATGGACCTACACCATAAGTGCTATGTATGTGCATAGCCAATGGACCTACACCATAAGTGCTATGTATGTGCATAGCCAATGGACCTACACCATAAGTGCTATGTATGTGCATAGCCAATGGACCTACACCATAAGTGCTATGTATGTGCATAGCCAATGGACCTACACCATAAGTGCTATGTATGTGCATAGCCAATGGACCTACACCATAAGTGCTATGTATGTGCATAGCCAATGGACCTACACCATAAGTGCTATGTATGTGCATAGCCAATGGACCTACACCATAAGTGCTATGTATGTGCATAGCCAATGGACCTACACCATAAGTGCTATGTATGTGCATAGCCAATGGACCTACACCATAAGTGCTATGTATGTGCATAGCCAATGGACCTACACCATAAGTGCTATGTATGTGCATAGCCAATGGACCTACACCATAAGTGCTATGTATGTGCATAGCCAATGGACCTACACCATAAGTGCTATGTATGTGCATAGCCAATGGACCTACACCATAAGTGCTATGTACGTGCATTGCCAATGGACCTACACCATAAGTGCTATGTATGTGCATAGCCAATGGACGGACCTACACCATAAGTGCTATGTATGTGCATAGCCAATGGACCTACACCATAAGTGCTATGTATGTGCATAGCCAATGGACGGACCTACACCATAAGTGCTATGTATGTGCATAGCCAATGGACCTACACCATAAGTGCTATGTACGTGCATAGCCAATGGACGGACCTACACCATAAGTGCTATGTATGTGCATAGCCAATGGACCTACACCATAAGTGCTATGTCAGCACATGAACCATCGCAGGGTTCTAGCCAGGTCAAAATAGTAGGGGGCGGGCAGGGGAAACAGTTGCCCCTCACCCATTTTCTCCATTTTCCAAAATTGTCTTGCCATACAAAATGCAACCAACGGGAGCGAGCCCCCGACTTTACCCCGGCAAGTGTGCCTGTGAGCCCTCTGTTTATTCCGACAAGTGTGCCTATGAACCCTCTGTTTACGCCGACTACTGTATTGACAGCATTTTCGTTGAATGGCATGAAAAAACACAAAACATCGATAAAAAAATTTTAAGTAGTAGGGGGGGGGGCTTTTCACAGGAGGGTGCTCAAATTCAATCAGAGTAGGTGTGTGTGTGTGGAGGGGGGGGGGGGGGGGTCCCCCTACCCTCCTTTGGCTAGAATCCTGCTATTGGGTACAGCATGCACCAAGGAGAACAGAGCTCCCAGCTCTATCGATTCAACGGATCTCCACCATGACACGAGATCATAATACGTCGTACCCGAAATGATGTGCGTTTCGAGCCCGGATTTGGAAGTTCTACGCCATCCGTAGTCTATGCAACTTGCGATCGCGACCAGTTCACCCCAGGAGCGGTCCAGACAGGCGATGCCATAATATCGTGTACATCATTATCAAGTATTTTTTATTTATTTTTATCGAGTATCGAGTCCTTTCTTGATATCGAGTCGAGTACTCAACGAACGGGTACTCGAGTACTCGGCGTACTCGTTTCAGCACTAATAATATGTGAGTGTGTAATCGGCCCTGCTCCGAGGGCGACTGTAACGGGCAGCCCAGGGTCAACTCGAAACCCACATGATTTAGCGTTACAGTCGTCTGGGATAATTAAAGGGGAAGTCCGGTGAAAATTTCTAATTTCAGGGTCGGTAGAGTTTCGGCCGCTGAGTCGAATGGTGTTGGTCCCACGTGTCTCTGACAAAGCGTTCTCGAGATATTTCCGTTTGAAAAACTGAGTTTTGGGGGCTGCGCAATGACGTCATGCGGCCGCGCCACACCCTCCGCAACGTCATAGCATGCAGCTAGGTCAAAAGGAGTGCGTGAAAGCAATAGTGTCAGTGCTATTTCAAATGATTTGGCGACCCATAGTAGGTGGTGCAAGCGACTCCGAAGACGTAACTCCTTGTGAGAGTGAGGATGCAGCCATGGCTGACCTTCATGAGTTCGGTCTGGGGCTGAGAACCTCGGTATTCAGCTGAAGAAATCGCCACGCGGGCCGGTCAAGAGTGAACGCTACTGAGTTTCCGACTGATGAAGAAGCAGCAGCTATTGCAGACGAGGCTGATATAATTATCAGATCGCTGGAGAGCAGAGTCGCCAAAATGGAGAAGAGTGATGCGAGTGCTCTACATGTTGTTCCATACCGATTCGCTTAGACTCCAGTAGCCTGCCACATGGTGATGTTTTGGTGCGAACTTGGCATATTTCGGACTACTCAATTGGAGAACAGTGCAGGCTCTTTGAACCACGGGCACGACTCTTCGCTCGCAACGCTACGGGATCTGAAAGTTCTAGGTCCGGGAGCTGTTCGCTGTTTTGTCACTTGTCACGGTTGTGCACTCATCGCTGTAGCATAAAATAATGAGGCGGGAGCGGAAAACTAAATTTTTCTTTCTCAAAGCACAACCACCGGCACCGGCAAGGAGAAACGCTCGTTCTCTGACTACATGACTGTACAATACGACTGATACGAGTGTAGTATAATGACACGTCCGTGTGTTGACTAGTTTTCTGAGTCTTGTGACTCGAGTCTTGTTGTACCTACCCCAGCACCACGGCAGTGCGGGAGTAGTTCCGTGTGTGATGAGTGTGTGCTAGCATGCATTGCACGCAGCGCATTTGTAGAGCCGTAGAGCTATAGTATAGAGGCCTGTGCATGCCGACGGAAAAAGTCCAACTCGGAAACGGCTAAAAATACAGTATAACCTCGAGGTTTACCGAGCTGCAAATCACATTCACAGGGTACGTAGTGTTTGTAACACTGAATGGAATGGTTTTGGTCCGAAGAAGCTGCGACAAACGGTTCCCCAATCGAACGCGCTCCGAATTTGGCCGTTTTGTACACATCTAGATGGTGTGGCTACCTGGCTGCACGCTGTGACGTCATCACCTGGATCTGGGTGAGGCGCGCTCAAATTCTCACATGTTCGATTGGGCGTATCTGACGAACCATAGGCCGCAGCCTCCTCGGACAAAGACCATTCGACTCAGCGCCCCGAACTCTACGGACTGTGAAATTTAAATTTTTCACCGGACTTCCCCTTTAATAATGTACATGATTGTACATGTACATTATAACACTTACATGTACCTACAGTAAAGAGAAAATAAAAAAAATACCCTTCGCACATTTTCATAGCAAAGTTTGGCAAACAAAGGGCAAAGAGTAGAATGCTAGCTAGCTCTACGACGTGAAGTAATGTAGCCAGCTTTTCGATGGGTTGGTTTGGCGAAGATAGCATTGTAGTGATGTCGAAGCAGGTCAGGACACTGGACAGAGTTGACTTTGTGCCGCACAGGCGCACACGCGATGTATGTGAGTGAGAGCCTGAGCCTAGCCTGGCACCAGGGTCCGTCGGCAAATTGTTGCGTTGTTTTTCGCCAAACCAAACCTCTCAACGATCAATAGGATTTGCTCACCTCCTGCATCTGTTCCACCTCGACGCTCTCCTCCCCATCTAGGCCAGGCTGATTTTCAGATCCCTCACTCATCGCCAACAAAGAAGGGTTTACAAAGGCTAGCTTCTACTGGTAGGGACCAAAACTCAACACCTGCACTAGGCTGCAGTGAAGCAAACCACCATTGAGCTTGCTCTACGCCTTCGCCTTCGGCAAGCTGTTCTCTGTGTTGTTTTTGCAGTGCATGCTAGTGTTGGAGCATTGATGCACGGCTGGTTGTCCTGTGCCAGTGTTGGCGCGTGATCCCTGATCACAGAATGATGAATTGATGATCAGCGATGATATCAGTCATTGTAATCACGCATTTGCGTGTGATGTCATCAGCCTCAGGTTCGATTTTCATGCCTTTCATCACTTTGATTGGATTGCTTTGATCAGTTTCGATTTCTCCTCTTCACTTTTTTGTTTTGTTTTGTGTTTTGCAGTTTTCTCACAGCCACTGCTGTTTCAGTCTCTCTCTGTCGACTTGCTGGGAGCGGAGTTTGTTGTCTGTGGTGGTATTTCAGAAGTTTGCTTTCTCCTTCTTTCGTACTAGTAGTTTCTAAAATGTCCCGTGAGAGACTTGGAAGTATGGTGGCCGACATACCGGCGTGGCTGTGGAATGGAAGTCGTCCATTTCGGAGTGAGCCATCGAGGGCTGAATGATTTGATATTCTGTTTGCGAGCGCGGAGCCCTGTTATTCTCTACCAAGTTGGAATTTTCTACTTTGCATTATAATTTTTGTCTGCATGAGCTGTGTGGTGGTGGTACCAATGGACTTCACGAACGGCGACGGTGCTTTGTTGGAAGATGCTGTAAACATTTCCAATTCCGGCGCACAAGCAACAGGCTATGGGGCCCAAGCGTCTGCGCAGCTTGCTGAGAGTGTGGAAGAGAGCCAAGACGTAAGTTTAAAGCATCGTTCAATGTCCACAGGATACAGTACAACATTGGAACAAGGCCAGTTCGTTGAAACTCTGAGTTTCAGTTCAACCACCAGGCAACAGGATGATTACACTGACGTATGAGCAGGAAACTCAGAGTTTCAACGAACCAGCCTTGTTGCATTGTTGTCTGTGTAATACTCATAGCCTAGGAGCTGTGGCATCATTCCTGATCCACAGCAAGAAGGCAGCAATGCCCGTACCTATGGTGAAGTAACATAAAGATAACCTGACATAACGCTCTGCCTCCGCAACGGTATTGAGCACTCTCAGCACACACGCTGGCTGCATCCCTCGGCGTCAGCAGGATACAATCACAGCTGATGTCCTGGCAGTGAGGCATTTCTTTTGTTCAGCTTACATCCTTGTCTTGTTCAATTTCCTGACCTAGCGTACTGCACTTCCACATATAGATGACCTGACCTGAAGACCTTGTAACGGAACGCGACTCCAACTGCACAACGACCCAACCCAACCAGGCACAACCACAGCCAGTCCAGGGGAATACAGGGATAGAGATAATAATTATAGCATTACCAAATGATCCGCGCTCTGCGAAAACCGACCTTAGGTGCTTCGTAATTTTTTCGAGAAAAAGAACAAAACGTCACGGTCTGTCGATTTTTGAAGATCACAAGGTGAGAGTCATGGCGGGACGAAGCAGAAGACGGTCGCTAGCTCAAATAATTGCTGTGGGCTTCTCCCAGAGGTTTCATCCTAACTCCTTCACGATGAATAGTCATTTTTTGGCCTGGTCCAATCGCAGTTCTGATGACAGCAGTGCCGAGGAGAGTCGGATGTGGAATCGCAGGACGCAACGCTGATCGAGCTGGACGGCCATGCGGAGGAGAATTTCGATCAGGCGTCCGTTTTGCCACCAGCCCAGCCCCTCAATGCCGGCAATAAACAGAGTGCAGACCAAGAAAAATCGGTTCAAGTACATGTACTGTCTACAATCCAGGAGGCGCGCGACAAGTTTGACAAGGGCTGTAGTCGTTCCGCACTGGTGCTGTTTCAAGAGCGTGTCACTTGAAACCTTGCTCTACAGTCACAGCGCTCACAGCAGCGCACATCCTGACCAAGTCAGAGCGCTGCTTGTGTGTACATGTAGGCGGAAAGCTAGACGTGCTCAGGAGATGTGATGAGGCTTCCCAGCGCGTCCAGCATGCTGGGAGATGTGATAGATGGGGCTCAACAATACTACAGTAAATATCGGATATAACGTGCCCCTTTGATTTTCGAAAATTTATCACTATATCCGGTGCATCACTATAGCCGATTTGCATGTTTGACCGACACATGGCACATGACTGCACATGAAATGATGCGTACACGCTGGAAAAAGCATGCTGAAAGTGCATGCATGCTCCGCGGACTGTGTACCGGTGCATGACACAGAGCAGTGCATGGCAGTGCAGTACGAGTACAGACTGTACATGTACTAGAACTTCGATACATCATGTGGCATGGCTGCTTCTTCAGCCTGTTCTCCAAAAAAAAGCCTGAGCTGGATCCGTACTCACGTAGATCTACTCGGTGTCCAACGAGTTGCGTAGAGCCAGAAATAGACATGAGTGGCTGTGTACGTGAGTTGGCAACATCATCGTGAGAGGCAACACAGCCAGAAACGGACAAGAGTATGCAGAAAGATACAGAAAAGGACAAGACCATCAAAGGGAGCGAGGGGTAGCGCAGCCAGAAAAGGACATGTGCATACAGAAACGGACAAGAGCATACAAAGGGAGCACATTGCGAGGGGTAGCACAGCCAGAAACGGACATGTATGATCATCACTCTTGATCATTATATGCGATATTTTCCTGTACATTTGATATGGTTTGCTTCCTGAAGTCCATCACAATAAGCGATATATCGGTATAGCCGATAATAGTGTATATAGTGATATTTTAGCTGTATTTTTTTCTGATTTGATTTTGATTTTGACGTGTTCTATCACTATAACCGGTATATCATTATATCCGGTCATTTTATAAACGATACTTACTGTACTCTGAACTACTGATCTGAAGACTACAGTCAGTGGCTGATGTGGAAGTCATGTACATGCATGTCAGGAAGTCTTTGTGTATGCCTCCAGCCCAGGATCAAGCCCTGGGTGCTGAAATCTGTGCAGGCTGCTGTCAGTGCAAGTGAAATCAGCCCAACACAGGAATTGAATGAACTCTGGAATGCACTGCCTGTGGAAGATGTTGTGGAGCTGAAGCATTTTATAGAGCATTATGCTATCTCATGGCCTCCCTTAGGCCGCGGTCACACCGAGCTCGATTCAGCCGTTCAGCCGAAACAAGCGCTTGTTTACGTCACTATTACCATGGAAATGGCTGAAAAATGTCCTACAAGCGACTTTCAGCCGTGGCTGACTCTCAGCCGTTTTTTTCCGGCTTGTTTCAGCCACAGCTTGTACAAGCGGCTGAAAGCCGAAATTCAAAAAATAATTTGAGTGCGCTTGGAGCTCCGGAGCACACCATGTAGCTAGTTGACATGATGAACTGATATTGATGTTCTTTCTTGTGTCCGGGGAACCGTGCTATCCCTGTGCCTTTGGTTTTGACCGTGAGTCTGTCTACCCCAACTACACTGTATTCAGTTTGATTTGGATTTTGTCCGACGACCATGGATTTCTGCCGCTGTGCCTCTAGACTGCTGCGTAGATTGTTGGAGCTGTGGTTTGAGGCCAAGACAAGGCACCACACTCACGACCGAATTCATGAAGAAAGCCGGGTACGAAGAACAGAGTGGATTGCAACTGAGTTCAATAACGGCAACCGGCGGGGCAGAAAGCTCGACATCGGGAAACACCACCCGAACCATCGCGTCCATGCACACCGAACGAATAAAAAGAGCACGACTTCGCAATTCAGAATCCGGGCTTCCTTTGCTTCTTCATCAAAACTGAACACTAGAACAAGTACAGTTTTAGATCGCGAACGTTCTGCTCTTCAGTTTCTTGCAAACATTAGTGTGTTTCGAGATATTCAAAATTTGGCGGGTAAGAAAAACAAGCCATTCAAGCTTTGCACTCAAGGTCTGGTGTGACCGCGTCACAGGGATCACGCAAGCCAGCTGAGCGCCAGCGATAACAAGCCCAAAGTGGCTTGTTTCGGTGTGACCGGGGCCTTAACCTGCAGATCCACATGGGCACAACAAGCCAGTAGCAACCTACATGTACATGTATTTGCACAGTATCACTACGAAGAAGCTTGTCCACCAGGCGTTCACAAAGCCTGGTGGCAAAGCTGCATACAGTACGTTTGGCAAGATTTGGAAAAGAGACTGCCAGGATATCACCGATTATGAAACAATGTGTGCGGCAGATGTAGACATAACTAGATGTTCTACTACCAGTACCAGATAAAACTATCAATATCCGTTAACCCGACATTGATCCGAGCTTCTTCACTACTTTGCACCTGCCTCTACCCATCACTCCGGCTGGCATATCCTCATACAGAGCCAAATACCTCTTCCAGCAGATCGTGAGCAACACCATCTGTGCACAGAACAGAGATAGAATGTGTCTATCTCTACAACATGAAGATCCAATGCCATCATTAACCTTTCCTTTTGAAGATTATGGCATACAGATTTATTCTGCAAAGTTTGGTTTCAATCATGCTGCTTGAACTCTCACAGCATTGGCTCCAAAATGTAGCATAAAATCCAGGATTTATGCTACTTTTCCTCAAAAAATTGTAGGAAAAGTGCAAAGAAATTGTCATTGTATCTAACTGAATATGTATGCAATCCACCTCAAACTTCACCAGAAGTTGAAGAAAGGGTCATGGGTCAACAATCCAGCACAAACTCAATTTCGCCAAAATAGCACCTAAGGTCGGTTTTCGCAGAGCGCTGGTCAAATTATTATAACGAACGTTGCCGTCCAAGAGAAATCTGAAGAAGATCGAAAGGAACTCGCCAACTACTACCTCGAGCCCGGAACATTTGCATCTCCGGAACTAACTGAGGTCCACGTGCTCATGCACGAGGTCACAGGAAACATGCATAAGACAGTTGGACAAAGCAGCAAGTGCTGTGACTGTACTGGAGAGATATACGTTATATGTAGAACCAGCAGTAGAATGATCCGCACACAGCACGTACAGTAGCATGCAGCTCGCAAGCATCAGCAGGACTCATGAGTCAGACACACAGAAGCATACACACGCTAACTCTTGATGCAAGACACAAAGGCTAAGGGAACAAGCACCAATACAACAGAAACATGTAAGCGCACCAACATGGCCAAGATAGCTAACCCAAGGCTAAATAAATAACATTGTCATAAAGCGATAGTTCCAGTTCACACCATCACCTGACAATGTTATCAGTTCAATCATATCGTGCAGAGCGTTGCAAGGCATCACGATTCCGCAGGTTGTAACGGCCATCACCAGGTGATATCTCCACATCAAACCTGAATTCTTCGTCACAGGCATCGGCATCGCTGGCATCAGCTGCATCAGTGGTAGCTTTCTCCACCGCTGACTTCTCTTTCGCAGTCAGGTCGGGAGTCGGCTTCAGGAGGGCGATGTTGACAATCTTGTCTTGACGCTCTGGCTTTGCTACAACAACGGTCGACCCTGACACAATGGCTTTCACCACCCAGCCAAATTCATAGGGTGGGAGTCTCTTCTGATGCCGACCGGGGCGTAGGAGCAGAACTGGCTGACCAAGGTCATACGGGCATTGGCTACCAAGGTCAATGGCGTCGCGTTCTGATAGTTCCTCCTCCAACAGATCTCGGACACGAGCGGATTGCTCAGATACCTTGACTGCCCACTCGCTCATTGCACACGCAGATGGCTCTCCCTCCACGATGAGATGTGGACATTCCCAGCCAACCATTGCTTTCATCGGTGAGATTCCAGTTGAGCTGTGGGGCCTTACTCGGTAATAGAGGAGCAGTGTTTCAATATCAGTAGCCCAATCAGAAGAGTGCTCTATTACCTTGCATATCAAGCCGAGTATGGTGCGATTCGCTCTCTCAACAGAACCTTGCGACTGGGGATGACGGGTTGCACTTGTGCGAACTTCTGCACCCATCAGCCGGAAGAGTGACTCAACAATGGCATTGCGAAATTCCGATCCATTGTCAACACGAATAACATCAGGAGCCCCCCAACGTCGGCAGATGGAGGTGAATGCCATAGCGACTGACGGCCCATCATGGTGTCGAAGCGGGACGACTTCTCTCCACTTTGTGAAGACGTCAATGCACACTAGCACACAGTGGTATCTGGCAGACTTGTCTTGTCCAAGTTCCAGGACGTCGATAACCACTTGACCCCAAGGGCGTCCAAGAATATCAGCTCTAGTCGGAGGAGCAGTCGGGCCATGCTGAGGATTGGTGGCTGCACAACGAGCACATTGAGACACATACTCTTGGCAGGCACTGGCAAGACGTGGGAAGTAACATCGGCAGCGCAGCATCTGGTACATAGTTTCCCACGAAGCATGACCAGAATTCACATGAGCAGCAAGCAGTACGTCTTCTCTCAGGGTCTCTGGGATCACTGGAACAGACACAGTTCCTTCGAGCGGCAGCTTCACACTTCGGCAGAGCATATCTCCCTCCAGTACCAACTGGTCACGGACCTTCTTGAAATCGCTGACAGTCACAGCTCGACGGGAACGATCGCTGCCACAGCTGATGTCCACATACACACGAGGCAATTCGGCACTACCAGAAACAGTACACAGGCACTTATCTGGGGGCCCTTTGGCAGTCGGAGCAGCAGCAGCATGGCCACGGCTTTGCAGGCTCTGCTTTCTTGCAGCACAGTCCTCCTTCTTGTGGCCTGTCTGGTCGCAGAAGAAGCATGCTGGCTCTCCATAGCTCCTGAAACTCGCTCCATCATTACGACCAGCACCTCCTCGATTACCAACATGAGGCCTCGAGCCACCACTCTTACTGCTAGAGGCTGTACGCTGTGGAAAAAATCTCTTGATGTATCCAGGTTCCTTGCAGAGGTAGCAAACAGCATCGGAGGCAGCAGCTATTCCAGTACTACTGAACGAACTTCTGGCTGCAACAAGAGCACGCACTGCAGCTAAACAGCCCGAGATTGTGAACTCTTTTCCTGCAAAAGCCAGGCGTACTTGACAAGCCATGTCTCGTGGGAGGCCTGCAAGCATCTGTGCGATCATAACAGCATCCTTGTCATATTTTACGTCGTGACCGGACGACTCCCGCAAACGACGCAGGTCAGCCTCAAACGCGTCAGGGCTCTCATCTAACTTCAACTTCCTGCTGGTAAACTGTGCACACGCCTCGCTCTGCGCCACACTGAAAGACTTCACCATGACCTTCACTTTATCTTTCATTTTTCTTGTCTGCAGTGGGCATTCTCGAAAACACTAGAAATGCGTCTCCATCCAGGAATAATGGCACTCGGGCCATATAAATGTCCTCCGTGTCCCATCCAGACACATCCGCCAACACGGCAAATTTCGACCAAAACAGGTCCCAGTTGTCTCCTTTGCCGCGAAACGGCTTCACAAATCCTTCCAACTTCACCCACATCGTACATGTTACAAGATAACTAGTTCAGACGGAACTCCCGGGTTTTGGCACCATAAAGTTCTGTAACGGAACGTGACTCCAACTGCACAACGACCCAACCCCAACCAGGCACAACCACAGCCAATCCAGGGGAATACAGGGATAGAGATAATAATTATAGCATTACCAAATTATAGTATAACGAACGTTGCAGTCCAAGAGAAATCTGAAGAAGATCGAAAGGAACTCGCCAACTACTACCTCGAGCCCGGAACATGTGCATCTCCGGAACTAACTCAGGTCCACGTGCTCATGCACGAGGTCACAGGAAACATGCATCAGACAGTTGGACAAAGCAGCAAGTGCTATGACTGTACTGAAGAGATAAGACGTTAGCGCCAGACGTTACTGAAGTAACGTCTTTTGCATAGCTACGGGAGTAAATACTACTACTACTACTGGTGTATTTGTGTTCCAGTTCATCAGCCTCATTTTATTTCTGTTTTCCTACCACTGTTTGTATATCGGTGTAGGTGGTGTGCAGCGCACCAAGCACAACACTTGCTGTATCAACGCAAGAAAGTGTGCATTCGTCTCTCGGTCTGTGTGAGGAGCCTGTGCAGAGAGGCCTAGATGACTCGGGTAGGTGCGTGTGTGTGTGCGCGTGTGTGTGCGCGTGTGTGTGTGTGTGTGTGTGTGTGTGTGTGTGTGTGTGTGTGTGTGTGTGTGTGCGTGTTTAGTATTTACATTGTGTAACTTTGCGGATGATGAAGTTGAGGAGTTGTGGTGGACGCAGCCAATGGGGTTTCTCGGCACTTCTTCCAGTGGTTGTGAGACGTATCCACTCACCCCCATCGTTAGGCGCTGCATCTGCCGCTAGGGTTTACCGGGTGTTAGCGGCCGTCGTGAGTCCCCTTCGGGAACAGACACGGTAATTTACTCTCTTTTTTTACTTATTACATAAGTTGAGTGGCCCATACCGATTGGTTTGTTCTTTCTCTGTGCCGCCAAATTGTTGCTTTCCTTTCATTCACTATTTTACCTGGATTTTCCTTGCTAGAGTCCACATGCTCTGTGGGTAGTAAACTGCGAGGCCTGATCAGACAGCACATATGCTCTAACTGAAGACTTTTCTGATCATGGAGTAGCTAGGCATCATGGAATACAGTCGGACCTCGCTTAACCGCACACATCTGTTTTCCACAAAAACATCCGGATAGGCAAGGTAACCGGATAACTGAACACACACACTGTATATGCATGTGGCATGTCAAAAGCAGTGACATCATACATACATGTAGACGGGTCCTATGCAGTACAACTAGCGTGCCCAGTATGTAAACCAAGCGAGAAAAATGACAAGTGCATGCAACTGAGTGCTGTCCGCACACACCCAGCAGGTCAAGGACCTCATTTGCTTGTACAACTCATTGATACTAGCTTCTGCAGGCGCTAGCCAGCCACATGCAACCGGATACGACGAAGCATTTTGTACACATTTTAACCAGTTTGTACACAAAATCATGCACCGGTATGCGGATCGCGAGGTCCGGTTATGTTGTATGCATAACATATGCTGCACATCGGTAACCAGCGATTTTCTTCCGGATGGCGAGGGATCCGGATAAACGCGGACCGGATAAACGAGGTCTGACTGTACACTCCTTTCCCATCCCAATCCCTAGAGAGAAATTTTCGTCGGCTCATCAATTTTATTTGTAGTGATGTGTGTTGTGGTGTTGTGTGTTGTGGTGATGCGTGTGTTGCAGCGATGATGTAGTAGAATAGTAGTTGTAGAATTTATTATTTTGATAGGGAAGGCCCTACAGACATTGCTGTCTTGTTACAGGGAACTCTGAGGGCTCTTTACAGAGATGTCCTGCTCGTCTTGTTGTTGTTGTGTGATGTGCTGTAGAAATCGTGTCGCTGCAGACGGTCACCACGCCGGCGCGCATCATCCACGGCTGCACGTTGTGCGCCAAGACGTTCTCACGGCACACCAATCTGGTGCGTCACGTGCGCAAGCAGCACCCTGGCCACAGCGTGGCGCGCTCCACGCGCAACGTGACGACGAGCAACGGGCGGCTGGACGCCGACGAGGACGACGTACGCCTGATGAACGACGAGCCGCAGCTGACCGATCTGTCGGCGCACGTGGAGTGCGTGGCCGTGAGCGATACCTGTGCGGTGCCGGAGGCCACTGCTGCTGCCGGCTCGCATGCGTGCGTACTTTGCGGTGAGGTGTTCTTCAACGCTCAGCTCCTCGACCTGCACCTGGCGCATCACGCCCGCCTGCCCGTGTCCGGCGAGCCGAGCGGCGTCGTCGGTACGAGTGCTGCGAGTGCGAGGGCGTTGGGCAACTACACGCCACCGCCCACCGAGCTCAGCAGCTCTGTGTCTGCGATTGGAATTGACTGCGCTCCGCCGCTGTTTCCGGCGGTGGCCACGCCCGACTCTGACTCGCTGCTCTCCTCCCGTGCGGATGACACCGTTGCCGACTCGACGCCTGCGCCTCTGGCCGCCTCTGGGCGTGACAGTCCAGCCGCTACAGGGCACCAACAGGATGCAGCGGCAGCAGCAGCGAATCCGACACTGCAATGCGAGCACTGCAGCGGGCGCTTCAAGGATCCCGACAGCCTGGCCGAGCATTCTCGTAAATGTGGGCAGACACCGCTGGAGAAGCATACGCATAGATGTGGCATGTGCAGCGAGTCGTTCCCATTGAAGGCTTCACTCGAGCAGCACAAGACCGGCAGCCATGGGCCGTTTCGGTTCTACGAGTGTACCATCTGCTCAAAGTCGTTCAAAGATAAGCACGATTTCCGCCGCCATGAGCGCATCCATAGCGGAGAGCGCCCGTTCAAATGTCCCACGTGCCACAAGTCCTTCTCGCAGGCCTCCAACCTGGAGAAGCACCGGCGCATCCATTCCGACGACAAGCCGCACGAGTGCGACGTGTGCGGGAAGTCGTTCATTGAGCGTGCCAAGCTGCAGCGTCACCTGCGCACGCACAGCGGCGAGCAGCCCTATCAGTGCCTCGTCTGCCAGCGCTTCTTCAGCCAGAAGCACCACCTGCGCACGCACATGCTGATCCACACGGGCGAGAAGCCGCACGCGTGCGACGTGTGTGGCAAGCAGTTTCGCGACCAGAAGGACCTTGTACGTCATCGGCGCCTGCACACAGGCGAGAAGCCGTACGGCTGCGGCGAGTGCAGCATGAGGTTCCGCCTGCGCGCCCTGCTGACCAAGCATCGCCGCTCGGCGCACACCGAGCCCGTCCTGACCAGCATGGTGACGGAGGGCCTGGTCGTGACCATCCCTGCTGCAGACGACACCCCAAGCAGCAGCAGCAGTGCGGCTAGTGGGGTTGATGATGCCGGTGGTGACAGCAGTAGCAGCAGTGCGGCTAGTGGGGTTGATGATGCCGGTGTTGACAGCAGTAGCAGCAGCAGCTGTGATGGCTATGCCGAGACGGCAGCTGATGCAGCCAAGTAGGTTGAACGATGACATGACTGGTAAACTGCTTACGGCTGTGTGCTATCGGTGCAATCTGCTGCTATTTGCTGTGTGTAGTTTGAGTGTTTTTGAGATGTGACACCGGCTTGCTGACCTTGATCGGTCACCTGCTGTTCTGTTGCGCTGTAGGGCGTTTAGCAGGGGTTTTCCCGTAGCTAGCATGGCATTTTGTGGTGTGTGTATGTGCGTCTGTCCGTCTGTCTGCCTGTCCATCTAACCCCCCCCCCCCCCTCCCCACCTCTGTGCTACTCGGCTAGACGTTTGTGTCAGCGAGACCAGTCGGTTCCATCCTAATTCATTGTGCTGATGATGATGATGTTGTTGTTGTACCCATGCGAGTAAGAACCAAGGCTGCGCACATCTAGCTTGTAGGGATTTTAGTCGTGCTGTGAGCATGTCGATCACGCCTATCAACAGTCACTGATGTAATCCAAGATATCAACAGCTGCGCAATGTTGTCCATAGCCCGTTGAGGCTGTGTATGCACACTGTTGTCCATAACCCGGTGAGGCTGTGTATGCGCACTGTTGTCCATAGCCCGGTGAGGCTGTGTATGCGCACTGTTGTCCATAGCCTGGTGAGGCTGTGTATGCGCACTGTTGTCCATAACCCAGTGAGGCTGTGTATGCGCACTGTTGTCCATAGCCCGGTGAGGCTGTGTATGCGCACTGTGAAAAGACAGTACGGTGGGGGAGTAGTTGGATTGCTTCTTGAAAGTCCAGCCCTACATGTAGTCTACAATCTCTACAGTGGGTTTCGGGCGTTGTGTGCCTGAACCTGTGCCATGGTCGATTGCTTGCGTACTCGTAGCAGGCCTTTGTCTGCTAGTGTTTTCTTGGTAGTCGGGTTCGGATGATTTTCTACGGGTAACACAGAGACCCGATTGGGTGATAGGTTCTGCTATGTAATACATATAAGTCAACTTCGCTTATAACGACACTCGGCGGGGCATCAGAAAAGTGTCCTTATTCGCGAAGAGTTGTTATACCCGAAGTCTCATTATATGTATTACAGTCGGCTGGGACTTTGCTCTGGGCAAGGACATTCTGTCGTTATTCGCGAATTATCGTTATATCCGCAGTCGTTATTAGCAAGTTGACTGTACGTGAACCGTAGAGAAATCACGGAGAGAATACGTGTCTGGGTTAGAGGTTACGGCTTCGCGTGTTTTGGGTCCAGATTTCTGCGTGGAGATGAGGTTCTCTGCGTTGTGGCACACGCAAAGAAAATGCGTCCGGATCTGCTGGGTATCATCAAGAGTATAATAATAATAAGCTCCCAAGAGTGTGCAACTCCTGATACCCTTTCTATGGGGTTTGCCGACGGCGAAAACTCACATCACGTGGTGTAATGTCCCACTTGTACGTTTCCAGCCCGTTTCTTAATAGCGAGCAGCGGAGTAATAAAAAATCACCCTTTGACAGAAACGCACTGCGCGTATGCTTGTTGGCGAGTTGCATACACTGCAAGATCACGGCAAATATTTATTGCGCGCACGCTATCCTTAGTTGTACGTACACGGTACAGTGTATAGTAGTGCAGAACATACCTGAGACACGTGATTTGAGTTTTCGCCATTGGAGACCCCATATGCGGAGTAGCACACTCTCGGGAGCTTATTAATTTTTACCCAGAGATTGACCCAGAGAGATTACTGATATGCCGACACAAAGTCCAGTTTTAGAGTCCTGTATGGTAGCATGATGGCGTTGGCGGGTAATTTCAACCCCCCCCCCCCCCCCCGTAGGAGGGGCATTCAAAATTGAAATCCCTGGTCAAGCGCATTTATTGCATCATTTGCCCCCCCCCCCTCCCGTGAATTCCGCGGCAGAATATCGGAAATTCCGTGCGGAATTCTGCGGCTGAAAACAGTAAATTCTGCGCTAATTCTGCAAATCCTTCTATATTCTGCGGCAATTCCGCAAGGAAAATAACACTGGTTGTAAGTGTAGTTCACCAGTGTGGATCCACCCATATCGTGAGCTAACCGATGCAAATTCCATCAAGGTTTGCAATATCCAGTGACTTGTGCGAAGCTCAAATGAGCAGTAAATATAATATTAAAGGGGAAGTATACCCTAAAATCAAATTTTCACCAGTTGTAGTCTTCGGGGTGCTGAGTCGAATGGTCTTGGTCCGAGGAAGCTGAGACGCTCCCTTCCTACTTGAATCCCAATCGAACTCGCGCACTTCCACCGAAACTGGGTGACTGCGCCCTACTAGATGGGGATTTGTATGCAAAATGTCACTAAAAGCGCCATTTCGTTCTTATAAAAGCACGGATGACCGCGATTGGCCCATATGTTGTAGTCTTTTGGACGCTGAGTCGACTGGTTTTGGTCCGAAAAGGCTGCGATGCAGCGTTCCTCCTTTATTCCCAATCGAACATGGTTGAAGAAGCGGTCACGTGCTCCTGGGTGCCCAAATCACCTGGTCACCGCGCCAGCAGGCGACAACTTTCACACCAAGGTTCAACTCGAGTTCAACTCGAGTGACAGGACTGCACCCAAAAAAGGTCAAACAGGCTAGTAAGTTGTACCCTGCAGGCACGGTGACCAGGCGACTGGTGTACGCACGAGCACGTGACCGCTTCTTCAACCATGTTCGATTGGGAATAAAGGAGGAACGCTGCATCGCAGCCTTTTCGGACCAAAACCAGTCGACTCAGCGTCCAAAAGACTACAACATATGGGCCAATCGCGGTCATCCGTGCTTTTATAAGAACGAAATGGCGCTTTTAGTGACATTTTGCATACAAATCCCCATCTAGTAGGGCGCAGTCACCCAGTTTCGGTGGAAGTGCGCGAGTTCGATTGGGATTCAAGTAGGAAGGGAGCGTCTCAGCTTCCTCGGACCAAGACCATTCGACTCAGCACCCCGAAGACTACAACTGGTGAAAATTTGATTTTAGGGTATACTTCCCCTTTAAGCTGTATATGCCGAGTTGAGGACTCTACTTCCTGTGATATGCTAGCAAAAGTAATGGTTCAGAGCTTGGAGTAATAAAAGACATGTACCAAATTCCGGTGCATGATAATAAATTAATAATAGTGCTCTCTGGAAAGCGAAAGCGAGAGACATTCTGTGTAAGACACGTGCAAGGCTATCGCTATACATGTACCTGGATCTCCTAAAATGGACCACCTACGGAGCCATAATGATCAAGACTCATCCCTTCAAAGGACTGGGAATTTGGGATGCGTCAGGCCATTATTATTGCATACCGATGCATTACTAGACAGTACCACTACACACAAGACAGTAATCAACAAGATTAGTCAAGATGTGAAGTCAACAGTGCTCAGCAGCTAGGATAGAGCAATAGAAGATAATGGTAAACTCCTGGTTTGGTAGCAGACGCGACGAACAATGTGATTATTCTGAGCAGGCAAGTGCGGGAACGAGCTGGCGTCAATACTTCGTGGGTAGACTCGGTGCGGATAAGGTAGACTGGTCGGTAGACTCGTCCGTAGACTCGGTGCGGATTATGCAACAGCGGGCAGACAACTGGATACAGACTAAGAAACGTAGCAGGTCGTAGGCCTATTACTGTCACAGTGTGTCGCTGTCAAGCACAACACCATCCTTCGAAAAGGCCGCCGTCGTAGCAGACATAATTATACCATGTATCAAACTTGAAAAGTCCGATGTTTGAATGGCAATCACAACCACAAACCAGGAGTACTCGTACTCAGCCATAGCCAAGGACTTGTTCTTCCCACCATGATACCTGACCTTGATCTTGATCTCCGCAGGTCATATCCATGGTACAGCGTAGCTCCTGGATCTGGCGAACTAGCTGAACTGCCACGGTCTTGGCTAGATAGGAGCAGAGCAGTAAAGGGGGCACTGAAGTGGCGTGCGGCCAAAGAGCAGCAGTAGTAGTAGTAGTAGTAGTAGTCAGATTTTCCATCACAACGTTCGTCTATCTCAGATCTCAGCTCACGTGTGGACGAGTGATCGCAGAGCACGTACAAGTTGCAGTCTCCTTGCCGCTAGAAAGAAAATAAGTATTCACGGTTGGCGTTAGACTCGGCTAGAGGCCAGGGTTTCTGCATTCGCAGGAACGCCACCACCCTTCAAGGACCTAGGCGCAGATACAGCTACCAAGCGGTGGGAGGTGAGTTGATCAGACCCACCAACGTTTTTCAAAGACTGCTAGCTTCGAAGACAAAACTGTACACGGGAGAGACGGTGCGGTGCTGAGAACAACCGGAGCAGTGCTGGTGATTTTAACAACTTTAGAGTGGCGAAGGTCTCAGGGTACGAATAGCTAGTCCCGCCCCAGAACTAGGCGGTCCAAAAGATGATGATGTTCCCCCGTTATACGCTGGGCATTGCAGGAGACACTGCAACCAGTGGGGGAATGCCGTTGAAAGGGACATTCCCTGTAATGAGTTTGTAACACGACTCTGCATGAAGCTGTCGCGACAGTTGGCAGCATGTACAGGTATTGTATGTATGACGTATTTTCTCGTTCAACGCTCACACACAGAGTATACGTTTAGAATGATGGGACTATTCCCTAAACGTGGTGTGAAGCCAGTGGTTGAGGTAAGGGACGGCGAAAAGACATCTCTTCGATCATGTGATCGGACCGTGCACGGAAAACTGCCAATGGTGAGATATGACTGTCGAACATGTTGGCCTACCCGTGCATGACACGTCTGGATCATGATGGACATAATCAACTTCTTACTGTCAGGCGTACAATTACTAGAACCACATACAACACAAAGCACTTGTCTAGACGTGAAGTAAGTAAGTTTCATTTGTTCTTTTTCTTTCAAAAATAATAAATTTGTTTTACTTTTTCTTTAGTTGTTGTGTCAGGTCAGTGATATCATGTTCTGTGATTGCCCGTATAAGAGGCTTAATCCCAGCACTTGTCTGTGAACACAAAGCACTTTGTCTGGGGCTTCGGGTCTCGACAGCAAGATGGATTTCTTTATGTGAGGGCCACCCACCTTGCTGTCGAGATCGGATGTGCTTGCCCATGGCAGCCGTCTCGCGGCGAAGCAAAGAAGAAACGGGCCTACCTACAGCGTGTGGTTGATGTTGAGCGAGCCACCTTCACGCCTTTGGTTTTCGCGACCACTGGCTCGAACGCTTCACTGCCAGTGCAATGTAAGTGGAGCAGGGGTGGGCTAGCTGATCTTGGAGCTGGCCCTGGCAACACCATGGCCAATGACACCACCCGTCGCTGCAAGTCCTGGGCCTGGGGTGGGCAGAGGGAAAACGGCGTGGTCACGGGCAGAACAGTGAGCAGCTACGGAGGAGCGGACAGATAGTGAAGCTTGTTAGGTTGTCAGCATGTTACGCCATGCTGCCAACCAAGCAAGGCTTTTCTAATTCTAATAGTAATAGTGATACTGTAATGAAGCGTGCAGAGGCACGGAGCCTGACGGAGGCAAGCCAAGCAACAGTGCGATGGATGGACACTCAGTGGTCGCCCGGCTGGGTAACAGTGCACCCGGACCTATGCTTATGGTCTGCAAAGCACAGCGCTAGAGTGGGATATGATCCAGACGTGGCAGATAGCTGGAGCAAGATCTAGGCCTATCAAAATGACGGTGTACACTCCACAACGGGTGGTACATAATGCTGTGTACTACAGCCAGCGCGAAGAGAATCAGGCAGGCGAGAAGGAAGGAAGCGAGAATTGCAGTGGATTGCATTAGCACTGCATTGAAGCTCTCCCTTCGCGTCTTTAACCCGCAGCGTCGCGCTGTTTTTTTTTGCTGGATATTCCTAACCGTGTAAGTCCCGCGTGAATCAGCCTGATGTTTGCCCAATCATACGGTCGCGGATTTGCACGTCTTATGTGAATAGCATAGCATTTGACGGTTCGACATGGAAGTCCTACTGAAGTCTTTGTTCTTTTCGTCAGCTCCCAGTTGCCTTGCAATTATTCCTGGCGGTGTTTGCTTGCAGAGTAGGGAGTAGTGTAAGGTGGTTATGTCCTGCGTCTAAACCTCGGACCCAGCAGAGCTTTGGGGGTAGCGGTATGGTACCTCCTCGGAGTCAGCTTCCCCGTGGGTAGTGTGGAGCAGATTGCCGGCCTACTCCGTAGTAGGTCTACTGAGTACAGGTACTTGGTCTCGAAGGAATCATTCGTTTTCCTTTCCTTTAGCTGTAGCCGCATCAGTAGAACACCAGACGTGTGTACCCAGCGGAAACATTTTTCCTAGAAAGTATATTGCCAAAAGTTGATAGTAATATTAAAATAAGGTTGATAGTGAGAGCAGGATACCTAGGCCGATTGCATCCATGCAGGAGCGTGGTGAACGGCTCGCAACGGATTTGGAGTTTCCCTGCGATGGCAACTTTTTCGCCGACTTTGGAGGGTTCCTTTGAGAATCGCCGAAAATCTACTAAATCTTCCAAAATCTCCCTAATTCTGAAGCCAATATGCCAACAATTCTTTCAGCCGATTTTCCAATATACTCCAATTTTGCAGCCCATTTTCGAACAATCAACTGATTTTGCAGCCGAATCTGATGTATTTTTGAACCGAGCGAAAAGCCGAATAGGCGAAAAACGGGCAGATTCGGGGAAAGCCTACTCTGCACTATGCTAGATCATTCATTCCTAGCCTATACATTTCAGATGTTTTGTCCGTTGGAGATAGATTTCCTAAGAACTCTTCTCAACTCCACTGCAGCGCTTTTGTTCCACTTGTAAACACTTCCATTCCCGTCACAGGCTCTCTCCGGCACAGACTCTCAGCTGCACAAAATCTGACCATTGACCATCATCAGGGAAATGTTGAGGAAGGGGAGGCAAACATGAACTATACAGCCAGAGGCATGTTCTACAACCCACACATTGAAATTCGCAAGAAAACCAACCAGTATTTATTGTTTTGGGGAAAAGATGCAAGCGGGAAACGTCTGAAGAAAAATTGACTGTCACAAGCAGAACTCGAACCAGGGATCTTCCGTCCCACCAAACAGTCTTTTTAGAGTATTCTCTTCTTTTTCTCCGTTGTCTGTTTCGTCTCCTTTCAAGTGAAGACGGTTTGGTATGCTTGCCAATTGCACCCAGAACATTCCTCTGGGCCTGGCTGTATTATTTATAGTTAATCTTTGCCTTCCATGCAAAATTGGCGACGTATTGGCAGACCATCATTCATTGTGTTTTGCAGCTGAGACGAGCGCTTATCACAACGTCTTCAAGTGTTGAAGTGGTATTCACGCAATGATGTTGTGCACTACCGTTATTCACACCTTGACTTTGTGGGTATAATAGTCGCCCGATGATTGCATTGAGCAAGAAACTCCGAGTTGCAACAACTCTGTAAACCTCCATTAAGCCTTTTGTATGTAAACCAGTATCTAGATTTTCCTCATTCCTATTGTCTGACGATCGCTGCGTGCGTAAAACTCGAAGTTACAACCCAATCTTCATCCTCCTCCTCTTGTTGTAAGTAGCTCTGCCCTTCGGCATCGAGCACTCTATTGGACAGCCTGGAACCTTTCTGTTTTACAAGAACACTGTAGTCTGTACAAATACTTAGTACTACTCCGCAGATTGTCTCTGCTTGATAGCGGAAGGTCAGACTGTCGTCCACGATGATACCGAGGTATCGTTCTGTGGCTTTTACAGTCGAGGTCTGGACGCTGCTGGGAAGATCGTGAATGACTCTGGTACTAATAGTAATACTGTAGTAATAATTATGTAGGTGCAAAATGATAGAGGCACCAGCACGGATTGTGGCGGCACTCCTCGGGTGGATTGCAGGGTTCCCGAATCCCTTCGCACTCATCATATCCCTGATTCATTTTGCCAGGAACTTTAAAACACATTCATTCATCTGGGGCACCGTGTAAGAAGAAGACCTTAGGCTCTGTTGGGAATGCCGAAGTAAAAAACAACAAAAAAAAACAACAAAAAAAGGTTGACAATGACAGGTGTCTCCTCCACATAATCATTACGATACTGATGCACAGCTGTACAGGATCATGGAGCGCACAGACCACACATGTACCGGTACGTACAGTATTAATTTTTTCCATGCTAATCCAGGTACTGAGTAGGTGATGATGCGGATGTGCGTTACTTAGTCTTTGCTTTTTTAGTTCTGGTTGAGTAATAATAATATTCGGTGAGTGCCAACTGCAAAATGGCATGCTAGTACTGTACAATCATGTACATAATAGGCAGTGTAGTGAAGACAGCCTAGACAGTTTGGGAGTTCGGCTCCGCTGAGCACAAAAGGTAGTACAGTCAACTTCGCTAATAACGACTGCGGATATAACGACAATTCGCGAATAACGACATAATTTTCATGCCCGGAGCAAAGTCCCATCCAACTGTGACACATACAATGAGACTTCGGATATAACGACACTTCGCGAATAACGACACTTTTCTGATGCCCCGCTGAGTGTCGTTATAAGCGAAGTTGACTGTAGGTGACACCGGCTGTCGAGAAAGTCAGCTGCGAATGGTACATGGTGTCAGGACGGATGCAGAACAGACTACAGTCAGTGTAGAACCTACCACGCACCCACTTCGAAGGGTAGATCTACTGTACTGTAGTGCATGACTGTGCTAGTCTACTGCAGTACTACTGGTGTTGCAAAGCAAGCCCATGGTCCATGGATAAAACCAAACGACAAGTAGAGGTCTACTGAGTATTTCTACTGGCCCATTTCCGTACTAGTACGTAGATCTACGTACATGTATGTACAGGGATCTAGACTAGGGACTAGACTGGCTGGTCCTGTCGGGCAGTCTCGTGATACCGATAGTTCTGTGATAGATTAGTAGTGGTCTTGACTTCAGGCTCAGACTCTCTTCCACGTTAACGCGTTCTTGGCCCGACCCCGTGGCCGTGTACTTGGTTTTGCCCAAATAATTATCAGTAGTGCACGCGTGCACCTCTCTCTGTACCGTGCGCCCGATCTTTGCGGCACAGACTAGACATTCATTCGTGGATTTGCACCAGTCCTAGATCCTGTGTGAATGGCAAATCATTCGTCAGCTCCGTGACGCGTGAAATTTACCTTTCTCTAATTATTCCTCAGTTCTTTTGCCTGGCAGTTAATATTACTACATTGTAGCGGTGCTTTCAGAGTGGGCAGTAGTGTCCGCTCGCCCTGCCCTGCGTCTAAAACCCAGACGGTGGCCCAGCAGAGCCAAATAATTTGGTGGTAGCGGTACAATACCTCCTCGGAATCAAATTCTGCGGCCAATGTGGAGCAGATTGCCAGCCTACGCGAGACGAGAAAGAAGTCATTCATTTCCCTTTCATAGCGTACCCGCATCATTAGAACCGCAGACGCGTGTATGCAGCATAATCAGAATTACACTAGGACTATAGGGAGGGAGCATGGCGAGAGCGGGTTATGGCTTCATCCGAATCCTCATCGCAGCCTGTGCCCTGAGCGTCATATTTCATCTTGTGCTGTACTGGCCTGGAGATGGGCGGGTGGGTCATGATTTGCAGGCACGCGCCGTAGCTGAATGGGCCATCGAGCGACACCGGCAACTCCGCAACAATGACGTCATGCAGCCTATGCCAGATGTGGTGGCAGCATTTGACGACGTGAAGAACCATGCTCGCGCCAAGGAGGAAATGGAGAACTTCATGAGCTGGGATGACGAGAGTGAAGCACAAGAGGTTTTCAAAGTGAAGGAAAACGCTGCACACCAGGCCAAGGTTCACATCGCTCAAATGGTAATCCCACCAAGGTTACGTACGGCTGTCGGCAAGTCTAATGATCTGCTTCAAGTCCTACCTGCAAACAATGCCCCACAAGCTCCTGACAATCGTCAGGCGTTGCAATCACGAGAGCGGATATTGGCGGCGGCATTTGGTAACAGCAATAGGATACCTGGCCCGGCTGCATCCAAGCAGGAGCATGGTGACCGGCTTGCAACGGATTTGGAGTTTCCCTGCAATGGTTACTGGCGTGCCCAGTGGGTTAAAAAGTGCCCACAGACGTGCAATTCAGAGCCGACCCGCATCACCGGGACTGTTCACTTCATCCTGCTCGACAACAAGTTTGGCTTCATGTTCTGGCTGGCCGTGCGATCTGCGGTAGTGTATGCCCGTGCGCAAGCCATCAATATATTTTCTGCCGTGGAGCGCTCGGAATTTGCAGATAACTGCTGGATGCAGCGGGTACTGAACATATCCACCGTGCATTTCTATCACATTCCCGCTCAGCGTTTCCCGACTCAGATCAACGGACATAAGATTGTTTTCATCCAGCACTACTCCGATTGGCTGCGCCTGGCGATATTGTGGAGCTACGGCGGTGTTTACATGGACACGGACTCCATCATTGCAAAGCCACTGCAGCCGCTTATGGCCAGCAATCACGCCGTACTGTCACGCCAGGCTACGCGTCGTCCCGGCAACGGAATGTTCGTGGTCCGCGAGCGCAGCTGCTTCGTCTGCCACTATGCGCGGCAGGCTTGCAAGAACTTCAGAGGGAACTGGTCGGATCATAGCTCTATGACGCTGGAGAAGATGTTTGGCGGTAAGCAAAAAGCCAGCGTGTCCATCCCGAGCCTAAAGAATGTAGTGCTGCTTGAGCATATGAAGGGCTTTTTCCCTTTCTCCTGGACTAGAACCGGCTTGTACAATTTATTTGATAAGCCCATCACACAAAAGGAGCGGCAGTTAATTGATGTATACGCTTTGCACCTGTATAATTACGTGTCAAAACAGTTTCAGCCTCACCTGTTAAACTTCACCTGGATACATGAACAGAAGTCTATGCTGAGCAAGACCATCGCTACCATTCTCCCGAGAGGTTTTGCCCGGCGAAGCATGGACACGAAGCAGTGCTTGCGATGGGCGGGCATCCCCGGGTGATTGACCCAGCTATCAGCGGTTTTGACCTGAATAACTATTTTGTAGATTTTAGCATATCATACATTTAATCTCTTGGCTATCTTTGAAGACCTGTTTTTCGCCGATTATTCATGCTCAATCTCTACCCATTTTGAAATCTGATATTTGGGTGTTTGATCTGATTCTGCCCGAATTTTGCCATGGTTTTACCGGTATTTATCGGTATTTTGGAAAACTTCGCAGGCTTTCTAGCATTTGTTATCGCATAAACAGTTTCTGCAGAACTAACCAAGACCAAAATCCGATAAGAAGAGTGAAACCCTAGTCCAAGGCTAAATGCGAATGGAACAGCTCACTGTAACCATCACAACGCAAAGGTGAACTACATACATGTACATGTACATAATTATAATGAAAGCCTTGCCTGATTTAAAGGTAGCATGCATTTTCACAAGGCAAGGACACACTGTATGGGCGACAGTGCTCCTGACTACAACCATAAACTGGTTGGTAGAGTCTCGGTCTTGCGACCATTTGAACCGTATGGGGCAATGCCCCGATTCAGACCCTCATTTTTTCCTACGCCCCTAGAAAGATAACGAGGGTTTGAACCGGGGCATTGCCCCATACGGTGGAGTTCAATGGTCGCAAGACATAAGGCCTCTTTTACGGGCAAACATAATACAATTGACAGTGGCATGGTCGCAAGACTTCACCAACCGGTTTATGGTTGTAGTCAGGAGAACTGTTTCCCATACAAAGTGTCCTTGACTTGTTGTTGTTGTTGTTTATTTTACTTCGCAGATTCTAACGGGCAAGTTGCCCAATAACAAGAAAGCGAAGGCAAAGAAAATAATACTAATAAAATAAATAACCGGGGGCAGCAGAAAATGAATAATAGCTTTAAGAACTCAGATGGTGAGCCAAGGAACAAATTTCCATGTTACAAATAATCGCTTTTAAAAGTAAAAAGAAAAGAGCGGGTGGTACAGCAGACTTCCTATTCTGAATTCCCTGAACGAAGCAGAGACATTAGCTGGGTACATGTCACTATTACACAGTAGGAAGAGAGCTACCTCGGTCGACATCAGTGGACGTGGACTACGAGTGGACGCGACATACGAGTGGATGCGACAGCAACAGTGACTGGAATAATGGGTGATACGTTTCATGGAGCGAGCGTGTGTGGGATGACTGACATCTTGAACACACTGCGTTGGGGGATGGTGCGGATGTCGCTGGGTAGTGCGTTCCACAGCTTGGGAGCGGCAACAGAGAACCTAGCCTGACCAGCGCGGCTTGCGGTGGGTGGTATGTGCGCTCCGATGTCCTTCTGCAAGCGGGTACGCCGATCTGGTGACCTTGAAATCAGTCCACAGAGCCGGTTCCCCGCAATGCCGTGGATGCATCGCCAGGTGAGCAATAGCGCCTTTTGCTTGTGCAGCTCTGAGATTCGGTAGAGTTCCACCCGTTGGAGCAGAGGTTGAGCCGAGTCGTATGGCCGAGCGCCAAAAACTGCGCGAACCGCTTTTCTCTCCAGCGTCTGGAGATCCGTTGCTTGCTGGGCAGTTAGACAGAACACGAAACAACTTGATGCGTAGGTCAGATCCGGCATCACCACGGACTTCAAGTAGGTGACTCGGGCCGCCAGGCTCAAGCATCTCCGAGTCCGCCAGAGGGCACCTACTTTGCGGGACACCTTTGCTGTAATGGCTTTCAGGTGTTGCTGAAAGTTCAGCCCCTCGTCAATGATGACGCCAAGGTACTTCGCGCTGGTGACTGTCGGCAGAGCTTGGCTGCGACAGAGGACTGTGACCCGGGGTCCAGCGTCCCTACCAGGAAAGACTGTGAGAACTTGACTCTTCTTCTCATTCAGAATCAATCCTCGCTCTTCCAGCCATGCAGCCAAGGAGACTGCGGTGGAGAGCGTACTGGCAACAGCCTGAGTCGTGTCAGCGCTACAATATACTGCCACGTCATCGGCGAACTGGATCGTGGCTGCGGATTGGGCTACTTGAGGAACATCTCTTGTGTACACGTTAAAGAGAAACGGGCCGAGCACCGATCCCTGGGGCACACCGCAGCTGCAACAGGTGATTGTGCTGCTGCTGGCCCCGAAACAAACTCGCTGTGTCCGCTCACTGAGGTAGCTGATGAGCCAGCGAAGGGGTCTGCCTGTCACTCCTAAAGCAAACAGGTCCTGAATGAGACGCTCATGACTGACTTTGTCAAATGCCTTGGAGAGATCGAGAAAGCACACTCCCGATACCTGGCGTCGATCGCGGGCCTCCAGGAGCGTGTCCGTCAGGACAACCAATGCATCTTCTGTTGAGTAGCCATGCCGGTACGCAAACTGCGTGTCAGGCAGCGCATGAACACGGGAAAGCTGACCGTGTAACTGGTTTTGTACAATCCGCTCGAGGATTTTCGAAATAATGGGTAGTAGAGATACTGGTCTATAATTCCCAGGGGAAGCAGGATCTCCCGATTTGAAGAGGGGGCGAACCTCTGCTAGCTTGAAGGCCCGAGGAACGATACCCGATTGCAGGGACATGTTGAACAGTTGGGTGAGGCTTGGTGCGATGATGTCGGCAGTGGCGAGCAGCAACGATCCTGGGACCCCGTCACTACCGGTTGCTTTTCTGGCGTCGACTTTACGGAGCAGTTCGTAAACGGAACCTGCATCAGACGCTCGAAAATCCGAAAGGACTTCCCCTCTCAATGGCCCCTGAGGTTCTGCCAATATGGGAGGTCTATTGGCGTCGGTCACAACTTGATGGAACGTATTGCCGACCTCTTCAACGTCGCATGTAGGATCCGGTTGGGCTGGGGTACGGCCTGTAAGGCTGTTGATGAGCTGCCAGAGCTTACGAGGGTTTGCAGATGCAGATTGACATGTCTGATGAAAATACGAGTTTCGTTTGCGCCGAATCGCGTTAGATGCCTGCGTCCGAGCCAGTTTGAATGCACTGTGAAGTGCCATATCTTCGGGGTTCCGGAGCCAGCGCGTGTGCAGCCTATTCCGTGTCCTGATGAGTTGATACGTCTCACGGTCGGACCATGGAGGTAGAGGCTTGCGGCGCGGTGGTACAGTCTTCATTGGAGCATACCTGTCCAGGACAGTCATAAAGCGCGAGTGCCAATCATGCCACGTATCATCCACGCTTGACGACTGTGGAAGGGAAGGGAAATGCTGAAGTTCTTGCTCCAGAGCGATTCTGAACTCAGGGATACTTATATTCCGAATCCGCCTGGCCTGCTTCGATTGAGTCTCTGCACGAGGAACTAAAATGTTCAGGTTGGCGAGCACAGCGCTGTGATCACTGATCAGACAAGGTATCACCCTGCAGCTGGATACCATCTTCCTGTCCGTGAGGACAAGGTCAATAAGGGTGCCTTTCGGCGTACTTGGTGTGATGCGCGTCACTGCATCCACGCAGTTGGTTAAGTCGAACGTGCAGCACAGGCTCTGTAGATGGGTTCGCTGATGATTGGGGTGATTAGCGGACAAGTCCACATTGAAATCCCCCAACACCGTTAAAGACGTGGCTGAAGAGCCAGCACTATGCATGGCACTTTCTAAATCAGTCCAAAACTCCACGGATGTGTCAGGGGGCCTGTAGGCGCAGCCGACACGATGATGCTGTCGATGTATCTGTACGTCAACCCACACCAGCTCTAAGCCGCTTACGCTTAGATCTGGGCGTGGTTTGATTGGCAGGGTGGATTTGTAATAGATACACGTGCCGCCACCTCGCCTGCCGCTGCGATCGGTCCTTGTGAGGCTGTATCCAGGAATAGCTACTTCTCCGTCACCAATAGTGCTGTCCAGCCAGGTTTCGGCCAATCCAAAAATATCAAAGTCCTGCACCCGGAGGAGTGCCGTTACTTCATCTACTTTGTAGCGCAAGCTACAGACATTCAAAAAACCTAGTTTAAGCGTTCGGGTATCCTGGGTGCTCACCGGAAAACTGATGGTGGCAGCTCGTGGAGAGAATACCTCAGCGTGTGGATTTAAAGACGATATAGCAGTGAAAAGTAGTAATTAGTAAGTAAAAGAACAATCATGACGAGGACTAGCATAGAATCGAGATTACAAGCAGAAGTTTACCGGTTATTGGCTTCCTCGCCGACTCCTCACACGTTGGGCAAGGCGGTGCATCTCTTTTGCAGATGCCTCATTTGCCCATGCGACTTGGGGGTCGAATGCCAGGACTCTTGCGCTGAATGTGTGCTTGCCTGATGCGCGGATGAATCCTTCGTCATCAGGTGAAGAGTGACACCCCTTCCCACGAGAGAGCGAAAATGCCGGCACTCCACGTGTAGCCTCTTCTGCTGGCAGGGTTGTTGGCGTGGCGACTGGTACAGAATAAGCTGCCTGCCGTACAGGTATCTTAGAGACCCTTGGTGGTCGCGTGTTGTTGTTGTTGTAGAAGTTTATTTAACGTCGCACCACAAACAGGCGATTTCGCCTCCTTTGATACATGTGGACGACAGAAGGAATGAGAGAGAGAGAGAGGGGGGGGGGGGGACAGAAGTATGGAGAGAGGAAGGGTAGAAATAAATAAAATGTTTTTTTTTCTCTTTTACGTTTACTTTATACCAGGCGTGGGCCATCCCCTGTACATAGGTGCCATCATTTTTCTTTGTTTCAATAAAATTGTACTGTAAGGATAAAAAAAAAAAAAAAAAAAAAAAAAAAAAGTACGAAGTGTGATGCGTTCGTGTACATTAAGAAAAGCGATCCTGTCAGCTTTTCTATTATTGTGTTCACATGGCAAGAAAAACGACACCGCTATGCTACGTAAGTTTCTACGTAAGGTGCTCGGTATTTCACTTAGGCTACGTAAGTCTCTACGTAAGGTGCTCGGTATTTATTAGATCTACCAACGGGTGGTAGCCGCGTGCTGTGCACGTGCCCGGCAGACATTGTGTTCATGCAGTCCGTGTTTGGATGTGCATGCGCGAGGAACTAATATTTTTTTTACTTTCTCCTTTGGAACTGCTTCTTGTATGAGCTGTTTCGGATATTTCGTCTCCTGGCCTGGCTTATTTCGTTTCGGCGCTGCTGAGACCTCCTTTCGCGGAATATTACTCAATGACAGGTGAGTTGACCAGTTCCCTTTGATTCATTTGCTTGTGCTGACTCTTTCATTTACGAAAAGTGTGCTGATTTTGGGCGGAATGCAATAAATAATGGAAAAGCTGACAGGATCTCTTTTCCAAATTTAGCTTTTCCGCTGCCGAGGCCTCCTTTTACGGAATACTCGATGACAGGTGATCTCTGAGTTGACCGGTTTCCTTCGATTCATTTGCTTATGCTCACCCTTTCATTTACGGAAACGTGTGCTGATTTTATTCTGATTTAGATCCATTTTTATCTCTTTGCCCTTGTCTACAGTGTGCGAAGAACGCGAGTTCACCTTCTTGACGATAAGGCTTATGTTAAATGTGTTGTCGAAATACTCATATTCATTGTACATTGGTACATTACAAGTAAGGCACTGGTCAGTGGCATACTATCGTTGGCAGTTCCCAATCTGGAGGGAAAGGTTCAAGGACCCATTGAGTTTGCAAAATAAATTCGCATATCAGGGAAAATCTCCATTGTGGAGAGGTTCAGTAAACTTGTTTGCTTCATACGAAACAAGCCAATGGGTGCAGTCTCGTCTCGTGAAGATCTCGTACTTGTATGATTGGATTTGTTTCCTCGAGTCTGGGCTGTTTGATTTATTATTTGTGAGTACCACCGAGATTGCACTGCCCCAAATAAAGTTTCGTGCCGCCAAAGCAAGAATTACGATCTGCAATCTGTTTGTAGTACCTGCAAGAATGTGCTGTACATGTATCGTACTTTCTCTGTTGCTGTTTCAGTTGCCGTCATGTTGCTAAAGAAGCGTTCAGTAGAGAGGTTCTGCAAAACGAAAATTCGAACGAAGTTTCGCGACAGTCTTTGCGAAAGTGTGTACGAATTTTTGCACGAACGTTGCGTTCTGCACATTTTCGTAGTTTGCGCGGGCCAAGTGCACGTACGCCATGACCCGATCTCAGGAAAGTGTGTACGACTGTTCATTTCGCGTTCCCTGCAAGTTTCGCGTCCATAGTTGCGAAAGTTCGTGCGAAGTTTCGCACTTCATGACGTGGAACGAAAGTTTGTACGCATTTTCGTTTTGCAGAACCTCTCTAGTGACTCTTTATTTTGTTTCATACGAGACGAGTCAATGAGTTGGTGTGGCTTAGAATCTTTCGCTGTAGAAGAAATCTATTCATATGTCTATTGGAGAAATAATTGTATTCACTGGTTATAAAATAGGTTAAGACAGACTCACAGAAGAAATACCATCGGTCCCTTGGTGTTCGTCCTAAAGAGGTTCGACTGGATATCATTCACACTCACCAGAAGATGTGTAAGATTTTATTATTATGGAGTGCCTTGTTTATCTCTCAGTACCTCCAACCATAGCCTTGCCCCTTTTATCCTCAGGATCAGTGTAGTTGTTGGAATGAGGTGTTGGACTCAACAATGTATTTGTTTACATTTTAATACATGTTTATTGTTCCTCCTCTGCTGTGTTGTTTTAGAAAATCGTGGACTAACAGTTTGAAGTCATTGAACTACTTCCAAAAGTTGTATCGACATCGGAAACACCCTAGTAAAATAAAAGTTTTAATAATAATAATAATAATAATCAACAGGATTACGATTTCAGTGCAATATGATGCAGGATGACCTTATCACGATAACCCATGATTATAAACCATTATAAACACAGAATCAACAAAAACATCTGCGACACGCACCTGGTTACATTTCACAAATAAATCTGATCGAGGTTGGGGAAATCTGAAATATCTGAAAGGCAAGACAATTTTATGAGTCATGAAATTCTGCTACAGCAACATGCACAGAATGACCTCTGTATAAAAAAAAAGTATCACCACGATCCACCACTACTCACATGTTTCGCCGCAGAAGAACATTATTATTATTATTATTTTATTTATTTTACTAGGGTGTTTCCCACAGACCTATGGTCTTCTTATGGGAGCCCCTAGAAAGGTTAAGCATGAACGAACAAATGGGCGATATTCTGTACAAGAGCGAACAGTGGAAGGCAGCATATTCCACCGATCAGAACCTATGTAGCCAAGACGAGAAAAACCAGCTTTAGTGTGGGCATGCATTATGCTAGTGCCATTTTCTGCAAGAAAAGGCTTGCACATCAATGCGTATAATTAGGTATTGATACGATGTGAAGGCCATCATTTACATATTGATATACAAGTTGTAGGGCATTCCATTGATATGATTGGTGACAGAAAAAACAAAAGAAATTATAGCAATAAAAACTGCTTTATGGCAGTTTTCTAAAAAAAAGTTATTGTGTTCTAGTCCATGGACCCCGTCTAAAAAGTAAGAAATTAACGAAATGTGATAGCTGAAAATTAAAATTTCACACAAAACCTCACAATAATCACACACAGAATGAAAAGCTACATGAAGAAGACCTTTTAACCTCGTGATCCTCTTTCCTATGCATGCATGTTGCCAATTGTTGTTGCACTACGAGTTTAGTGTTGAAAGCAGCATTTCAAGTGTTGTGATTATTGTGAGGTTTTGTGTGAAATTTGAATTTTCAGCTATCACATTTCGTTAATTTCTTACTTTTTAGACGGGGTCCATGGACTAGAACACAATAACTTTTTTTTAGAAAACTGCCATAAAGCAGTTTTTATTGCTATAATGCAGCATTTGGGCGTGCAGGACAGTCACGTGCTTGGTGGCCAGATACACCACAGCGAAAGCACGTCTGTATTTGGTCGCGGTGATGTGTACGGTACGACCTTTTCTGAATGCTAAGCTTGCAGGGTACACCTTTCTTCAGAATCATTAGCACCCGCGTCGTACCCCCGTGAGAATTTTGAAGTTCTCAACAGTGACAATTTCGCAATCAATATTGCCGACAATTTCGCCAAATTCCCCCAAAGCCGACTCTATGTGGCCCAGATGCAATGCGGGTTCGCAACCATAAATGTAAACACGGGTAGCGGATACTGTGCCATCTCCCGGTAGCACGTCAATGCTCTTACCCTCCAACTGCAGATTTGCTGCGACGAGCTTGTCCCTGGTGGCGAAATCACGCAGGGTCAGAACACAAGACCCGGGCCGGCCGTGCAGGTCGATCTGGAGGACATCTCCAAGCGAGAGACTGCAGGCTTGAATTGCCTTTGCTACGTCCAGATGCTTCACAGTCTTTGGACACTGGAAATGGACAGCTGGCCTGTCCATGTCAGAGCGCTCAATTTGCCTACCACTCGGTATTTAGAAAAAAGACTCGTTCATGCTGTCATCGTGAATACATCATGCACAATCGTCATGACTGTAATGTACGCTGGCAAGGCAGAAGGGAAGCGAGAGCCGGTGAAAATGTTTTGATATTACATGTACATACCAGTACATTGACATGTACATGTACATGTAGACCTACAACGAAGGAGAGTTGGGCTGAGCAGGGTAGGGGTGAATTAAACATCCAAAAGCTAATCCAGGATTGTGCAAGAGTGCACTGCTCTCCTTCCGTTTGCATTGGCTTGTGAGTGGAATTAAATTCAAACAGGTGAAAACAGCGACCAGAACCACAACACCACACAATAGCAAAAGTAATCATCGGAAAAGGGATTTTTCTTTTGTCTAGAAACGCCGCGTCTCCAATTCTTCAATGTACTAGCGCAGTAAAACCTGGTTTAAGCGACCTCTCGGTTTAGCAACCACCTGCTCTTAACGACCGTTTTTCCATGCACGGACAGTTCTCCATAGACACTGTGGGACCTGGTTCTAAAGACCACCTGGCTTTAACGACCGCTTTTCCTTGCACCGTGGGGTGGTTTAACTGACCTCTCGTTTTAGCGACTACCTGCTCTTAACGACCGTTTTCCATGCACGGACAGTTCTACACAGACACTGTGGGACCTGGTTCTGAAGACCGCCTGGATTTAACGACCGCTTTTCCTTGCACCGTGGGGTGGTTTAAGCGACCTCTCGTTTTAGCGACCACCTGCTCTTAACGACCGTTTTTCCATGCACGAACAGTTCTACACAGACACTGTGGGACCTGGTTCTAAAGACCACCTGGCTTTAACGACCACATTTCCTTGCATGTGCCCAGCAAGGTACCCCCGTACTAGTTTGAGTTTTTGGAGCTCCACCATCCAAGGCTTTTTTATTGTTGTATTCGTGCTGGTTCTCGCAAGAAAAGCCATGTCTGGGAGAGGTACGTATAGCCAGTCTGTACGGACCCCGAAAGCCGGTGACTCTGGTAGGCGGAAAGCCGAAAGTCCTCCTGATGATTTGAGGTCGAGTGGAAAGTCTGCTGCTGGCATCTCCGGTATCCCTAGGTCTGTTGGTCCAACCAGTGCTATAGGTTCCACCTCTTCTGCCAAGGCAGCTGTGGCCCCAGATATACTCACTGATTTTAAGGTGTGTATGTCGGAACTTCTGGACGAGAGACTGGCAGTATTGATATGTAATGTTGACAATTTGAGCAAAGAGGTGAAGGATCTCAAGGCCAGAGTGAACGAGTTGGAGCGCGAAAAGACGGAACTGGCCAGCACCGTACAACCCCTGACAGAGGATATGAGTACCCGTACTCATTCTGCAGTGTCTAGCCACGTGCCCCATGACATCGTGTCCACCGTACGCCAAGTGGTTGAGGAAGAGTGCATGCAACTGCAGATACGGGACAATGTCATTATTTCAGGCATAGAGGAGGACACTGAGGAGACGCTAGTGGATGTGCTGGCATCACTTGTTCCGGACATAGAGGCATCAACCTTCACTGCAGCAGACCGACTCGGACGACCAGGAGGTGATCGACCAAGGCTGATCCGCGCCAAGATGACAGCCACCACCAAGGCCAAATTGATGGATGCGCGCTTTGGCTTGAAACATGGTACGAACCCAGTTTACGTAAACCACGATCTAACTATGCAACAGAGAGAGGCCCGTCGAAGTCTCCTGCCGAAGTACAAGCAGCTCCGTTCACACGGCGTGAAGTGTTTCCTTCCCCGTGATAAAATCCTGGTGGATGGCAAGCCCATTACAGAAGAGAAGATCACGCAACTCTTGATGGCCCCAGGTCAGAGCAGTATGCAAGGATAGGATCCTCTGGGAGCTCCCAATCAAGTAAGAAGTAAAACCCCAAGTAATATCCACTCTGCATGTCTCCTTAAATACTCTGCCCATGACCCACTTGTAGTAGCACACATAAACATATGCAGCCTTAGAAACAAAACTCATGAAATTCAACAACTATTGTCTGACCATAAAGTTCACGTCCTATGCATTACCGAGTCTCACCTGGACTCCACTGTTAGCGATGCTCGCCTTAACATACCTAACTTTAATGTTTTCCGCTGTGATCGCACTATACATGGTGGCGGTGTCTGCATTTATGTTCATTCTCACTTTGCTGGAACCGTAATCCAACGATCTACAGGATCCACTCTAGAGATATTAACTGTCCGTATCCGTCTTGCTACCAAGCCACGTGCAACAGACATTAGTGTGTCCACCTTGTATCGCCCGCCGTCTGCCACAGTGAATTTCTGGGACCAGTTGAGCTCTGAACTTGATTTAGCACTTCAAACTCCGAATGCATTAATCCTAGGCGACTTCAATACTGATGTCCTCCAGCCAACGACTCCAGGATATCACCATCTACAGCGTGTCTGTGCGGAGCATCACCTCAGAAATGTTATCACTGAACCCACTCGTTTAGCACGCACCTGCCTAGATCTTGCTCTGGTTACAGACGGCTCCCCTGTAGTCAAGGCGGAAGTAGTCTCAATGAACGGTGTTAGTGATCACGATCTCATCATTGTCCAATGTGCCTATCAAAACCTTGAGCCCATTCCTGCGCACACTCACAGGCTGATTCGGAAGCCTGCACCCCATTCTATGGATTTTGACCAATGTGGCCAGGAAATCAGTGAAAGTTTCAGAACTTCGGAGTCGCCCACCAGCCTGGACGGTCAAGTGAAGCAATTGTCCACGTGTTTGAGACATGTTCTGGACAGAAATGCCCCGATCACTCAGCTCAAGGTGTCTGGATTTGGCAGGCCTCGTCGGCAACCATGGGTTACGCCACACTTGAAAAAGCTTCTTCAGCTTCGAATAAACTTGCACAGGAAATTACGAAGGAACCCAACCGACGGCCCCCTCCTCCAGCAGTACCGGGCAGCACGGCGCGAGGGAACCATCTTGAATAAGAAACTCAAAACAGAATACTGCGTGAAGGCATTCAACACCCACAAACGGAACCCCAGAGCCCAGTGGCAAATCCTGAACAAGCTTGCAGGACGAGAAAAAGTCAAATCACTACCTAAGGCGACTATATCCGACCTGACAGCCACATTTGCAACCGTAGTTTGTGATCCTGCAAGACCGTCTGAACTTGTTCTACCCAGCCCACCAGTCGACATTCCCACTCTCGACGAGTTTACGCCAGTCACACTAGAGTATGTTGAAGATGTCTTGAAGTCATTGAACAGCCACAAAGCACAAGGTTCCGATGAAATACCACCATGTCTCCTCAAAGGATGCCGCACAGAGATCGCTGGCCCACTCACCGCTATCATCAATAAGTCTCTGCATACAGGCCAAGTTCCAAGTAGTTTTAAGCATGCACACGTGTGCCCACTCTACAAAGCTGGCGACGCAACTATTGGCTCCAACTACCGACCAGTGTCACTTTTGCCAGTGATATCCAAAGTGCTTGAGAAGGTAGTACACCGACAACTTGTTGCATTCTTCGACAATCATCCGGAACTCGGTGCACTACCGGAGGAGCAGTTTGCTTACAGGCGCAATCACAGCTGTGAAGACCTTTTGGCGTATGCAATAAACGACTGGCAGCTGGCCTTGGACAAGAAGCAGCTGTGTGGAGCCATGTTTGTAGACATGAGCAAGGCCTTCGACCGCGTTCAGCATAGCAAGCTCGTGCAGGAACTGGCTTCAGTTGGCGTCGGAGGTGTGGCATTGCGTTGGTTCGCAGACTACCTTACTGGGAGAACCCAGCAGGTCGTTGTCGGCGATGCCCGAGGCAGTACAGAGCCCTGCTCACGTGGTGTACCACAAGGCTCCGTGTTAGGCCCCTTACTTTTCTGCATTTATATCCGGCGTACCCCTCAGAAATTTCAACATTGCCGTGCTCTCCTGTTTGCGGACGACATCGCGTTCTACGTCATTGGTCGCAAGGCTTCAACCGTGCTCAGAATGCTGCAGACAGATCTCTTGAATCTGGATGACTTCCTCAGCGAGCGGGGACTGGTGCTGAATCCCAAAAAGTCCCAGCTACTGCTGCTCAGACGACCTACTGCGCAACTGGACGTGATCCCCAGCATCACCTGCAAAGGCACCGTAATCCCCGAGTCCAGCCATGTTCTGTACCTTGGCCTCCTATTGGACTCGTCGCTCAGCTTCGAGCAGCAGGTTGAGCGTGTGTGCGCAAAGGCACAGTGCAAGGTTGCCTCATTCCGCCACGGGCGCCGCGATGTCTCCATGACCGGCCGCCGCATGTTTTACCTGACAATTGTCCAGAGTACCTTGGACTATGCCAGCACATGTTATGTTCACTGCTTGTCTGCTAAACTCAGAGACAAACTTGAGTCAACCAGCAATAGGTGCCTAAGGCGAGTGTTTGGCCATGATCAGTATACTTCTATCGATTTCATTCTCACCAAATATAACCTGTATACTTTCTCTCGCCGTGTAAACTTGAAGCTGTTTGTGTTTGTTTTTAGGTGTCTATCTCGTTGCACCAGTCCTCTTTTAAGCACGATATTTACCCCCCGCTCTGCATCATGCCGCACAAATGCTGCTACCCGCGGTCAAGCTTCAGCCGCTCTGAACCTACCCAGAGCTACGTCTCGTTACGGCCTAAATGCTATTTCATTTTTGGCAGCAGACAGATGGAACATGCTTCCACCTGGATGTCGTCAAGCTAAGCCCCTTTCTGCATTTGTCACAAGCACCAAGTCATTCCTAGGGTTCCCAGTAAAAAGGCAACGCCTGTTGGGAGTTCCCTAGTAAAATAATAAATTCTACTACTACTACTACTACTACTACTTGTACCGTGGGGTGGTTGCTTAAACCAGGTTTTACTTTACGTGCATCTGCGCAATCCACACCAGTCCGAATGAACACTAGGAAATGTTTGAACCGAACGTTTTCGTTCCTTTCTCTATGGACTCTTCCATGGAATAAGGCACAAAGGAATGAGACAGCAATTGTACGGGCAAAGAATTGAGGGAGATAACATCACGCTACAAGTGTGAAACGTTAGTGGGTCAAAAGCAGTATGAAGATCAAATAATAGTACTAACACATCGAACGTATCAAGAGGAAAAATAATGGTACTAACACATCGAACGTACATGTATAAAGAGGAAAATAATAGCCAGGAGGGACACTGGGGACGCTTTGAACAGAGAGACAATCTCGCTGGTCATTATTATAGTAAAAACGTAAATAATCTGGAAGACATGGCAGTCGGTTTACTAGCTAGTCATGATCTATTTAGTAACATCATGCAGATCTTGTCTAGGATGACATAACATGGCACTCAGGGACGCCGTTTGTCATCATTTCTTCTTTTTAGGTGCACGAAAGATATGATCGCCGTGATAGCAAACAGGAAACTGCCCTGGACCCAGGCCGCCTTCCTTGCTCCTGCCGTGTCAGTGCCATATTGGCAGCTCAGCGGGTACGAATGCGTACACAGTGAGTAGAAAATAAGAAGACTGGTGCGAAATATATCCCCAAGAACTGAGGCACAGACACTAGTGTCTGGGAAGGACCTTTTGGGGCGCATGTTTGAGCACTGGTCGGGATCCAGGAGCACAGCGAACGCCACCCACAGAATGATAAGGCGGCGACTTGTGCAGCTGTCGGGATCGGCGGATTGTGTGAATTTCACGACAGCGTGGTAAAGGGTCACGATAAACACGTCGCGGTGATTCAAGTCACACTTGTCTTCTAGCCGGTCCAGGACCCCGTCGTGTTCCACAGCCTCGACCACGTCAGTCTGATGCGGCAGATGCGCCACCAGAGAGGGAATAACGAAAAAGACTAGCAGCATACTTCCCTGCACCCGGGAAGCTACCTCCACGCCATCTCCAGCATCAGCGCACGCTACGGGCTGATTGTGTGACAGAAGCAAGTACAGGGCGAACCAGACTGGGCGCAGCCATCGCACCCACCCCGTAGACGTATCCTGAGAGAAATGACGAATCGTGTACACGATACTGATAAGCACCAGTCCCACACAGTCCAGAGCTATCTCAGGCTTGGCACAGCTCTCCAGTAGGTGGGATTGCTCCGTCATTGGTATAAACTGTGCTGCATGACCACCATCCTTCTCATCCGTGTACTGGTTGCCCGTGTATATGGCTTGGAAGAACTGCGTCAAAGTTCCATAAGCGGTGGCTAGTCCAATTGCGACGTGGTCATTTGCGAAGACGTTTTTTAGTTGTACTAATCGATTGGACGTCATTCTGCTCGCCTGGCTCAATGGGATGTCCTTTCCTGGTCAATCTCTACTGATATAACGTTACTGCAAAGAATACAAAGTCAATGTTGAACGGGTGAATGCTCTCGACCAATGGCACGAAGAACGGGATGTACTGCTGGTGCCTTTGTTGGGATTGTCTAGTACGCCAGTCTCGAGTCATCGTTTTTATGCTAGGATTGTCTGGCTTGGGGTACTCTCCTGACCGATATGTGTGTGACGGAGAGTGGGAATTCGTGTGCCGGGTTTGGATTCGGAGCTGGCTTGGAAAGCTGCTGATGACGTTCGTGTGTCAGCTCACGTCGACATATTCTTCCCTCAGAAATCCGTGCGTCTGTCGATCCGATCGAAACATTTCGGACCCAGCCTTTCGTCCGCACATGCCGCGTGTTCATCCTGCAAAGGGACGATCCCCTACCCCTAGTCCGAACCATTCAGAGGCATTCTTCTCTGACAGCCCGTGCGTCTGCCAATCCGATCAGAACCGGTTGGATCGAGCCATCATGTCAAAATATGCTGTGATAAGAGTACAGAAGACATGGTTACGAGCAATAGCAGATAATGCAGTTTATCTACTGTTGATGCGAGGTATGAGTAACGGACAACTACTGTAAGTACTAGATAAATATGCAGTAAGACATTACATTACGACCGTGTACATTGTACAGTATGTGCAGGAGAGGTTGGTGCGACTTCGGCGATACTTGGTGAATTGTGTGTTGCTCACGACGTGGTAGTTTGCTCGTTTCCTTCCGACTTGAATTCTCACTTGACTGACTCACGACTGCCATCCAGAGCACACGAGAAGTCCATCGACCCGTCCACTCGGCAAACCTGCAAGAAAGCACCACTCCCTGCTCAATACATGTACACAGTGTTTCGGGAATTCACTTCTCGTCAGTTGAGCTTCAGCAGGTTGAGGAAGATTGTGCCTGAACAGCACCATTTATTCCCGTAGCTATGCAGAAGACGTTACTTCAGTAACGTCTGGCGCTAGCCAGGGTCCACACAGCTTTAATTCCCGTAGCTATGCAGAAGACGTTACTTCAGTAACGTCTGGCGCTAGCAAGGGTCCACACAGCTTTAATTTGGTGTTTGTTTGTTTGTTTGTTTGTTTGTTTGTTTGTTTGTTTGTGTCACACTTGGCGCTATCCTGTATCTATCCCGTACTGTACCGTACCAGCAAAGACAGCTGGCCAAAATATTTTTGTTTGTTTGTGCCATCGACATGCCTGGCGCTATCCCGTACCTGTCCCGTACCATCAAGAGTACGGTACCATCAAGAGAATGAGTATATATGCGAAGTGTATGGGGGGAATGCATTCAGTGCAGTAACATTAAATTTTGTGTGGATTTGTGTGCGAGGCCGAGATCCCACTAGCAGGCTGGCTGGGCCGCCTGTCGACCAGCCCGGAAATCGCATGTAGGCCGATAGCATAATAACAAGAGTACATAACCCCCCAGAGTGTGCAACGCCTGATCCAGCTCTGCATAGGGTCTTGGTCGAGCGGAATCGGATCTTTGCGTCATAATACCGTACACATCCGAGGGGAACCCGGGAAGTCGCGGGTACTCTTGGATCAAAAACAATGGTGCCCTGCCTCGAGACCGGCCTTGCGCTGGTGTGAAGTGTACGCATGACATAAGAAGATCCGATTCCGCTCGACCAAGACCCTACACAGAGCTGGATCGGCGTTGCACACTCTGGGGGGGTTATGTACTCTTGATAATAATTATAACGTATATACAGTCACTCAATCTGCGGACAGCATGCTGTTTCGTTCTTTTTGAACTCATCAGCGCAGCACAGAGAAAATGAGGCCGAACCTGATAGCAATGAAAATAAAAATTTCCAATCAGGCCCGAACGTACCTTGCCAGAGTGCTCAAACTGACAAGTCAGTCATGTAGATGTATAGCAGGGAGTCATATTATGTAAACGACTCCCTGCTGTATGGGGAGATTTTCTGGAAAGAAATACGAAGTAGGGAGACGAGTAAATGCATTCAGAATGGATGTTAGTTGCCGTCAGTATAATAATAATAATAAGAAGAAGAAGAACGCCCGTGATCGGCAGAGTCAGCGCCGGTCCCAGGAAACGTCAGGACAGACATCCCGTCGACTCCAGAACGCCCGTCATCGGCAGAGTCAGCGCCGGTCCCATAGCTATGCAGAAGACGTTACTTGTACTTCAGTATCTCATTGAAACGTTTTTGCAAAACAATGATGTAGCTAATCAAAGGAAAAAGCATTTCCATCAGTTCTAACAACATGCACGATGAGCTAGGCAACAAAGCATAGCGCAGGGCCCTGAGCTTCCAAGCTCTCTCGTTATGATCTCCAGGCACAAACATCACCTGTGATACAAACTTTCAGAGACAAACCAGCGCGACAAACACCTCGTGAACACCCAATAGCAGCGGGAGTCAGTGTCGCTCATGGAGGTGCTGAACAAACGCTGAGGACCGTCGGCCATTCACAACGTTGTCGCCGAAGTCGCACCAATCTCTTCTTCACATTGTTGTCCCCGGCGCGGGCTTGCGAATTAGATGGTTTGGAGGAGGAGGCAACAACCTTGTGAATGGGCAACAGTCCTCAGCGTTTGTTCAGCACCTCCATAAGCGACACTGGCTCACGCTGCAATCTGGTGATCACGAGGTGTTTGTCGCGCGGGAAACGGGGCGTCTCTGTAAGTTTGTATTCCTGGTGATGTTTGTGCCTGGAGAGCACTATACCTACTCAAGCTCAACTGATGAAGGGTGAAATCCCCGAAACACTGTGTATTGAGCAGGCCTCAGGGAGTGCCGAGTGGTGCTTTCTTGCAGGTTTGCCGAGTGGAAAGTTCGATGGATTTCTCGTGTGCTCTGGATGGCAGTCGTGAGTCAGTCAAGTGAGAATTCAAGTAATTACCCGTTCTCAGGAATTGCTCGGCCTGGTACTGCCCCATGCCAGATTGTATTTTGGCTATCACTCTGTATCTTATCTTGGAGCTGACCGATGGAACGCCCTCCCTGCCGCGATTCGCACCATATCCCTACCTGCTGCATTTCGCTCCGCTATCTTCACGTGGCTAGGGCACCTTGTAAGAAGACCATAGGTCTGTGGGGACTGCCCTAGTAAAATATGAATAAATAATAATAATAATAATAAGTCTGCAGGAAACGAGCAAGCTCCCACGTAAGGAGCAAAGCACAGTTCCCCATTGTACAACGTTTGGCTTTGCGAAGTAATAATACTAATAAATAAATAATATTCGCGGGATCCGCGTCGGCATCGCTTGAATGTTCAGAAACACACAAACTAGCCTTCGCATCCGCAGGCCACCACTATGCCTATTAACCTTAGAAGGCTTAGTGGCGAATGCAGACCTCACAAGCGAGTCAGGGGAGAGGAGGTTAGTCTCTCAACCAATCGGACGTGTAACGGGCCATAACCCTGTAAACATCATCCTTGTTATTCTCACTCCGAGCTGTGAGTACCCAGTTGTCTGAGTTGACCGTGGGTGTCGGCGCAGTTCAGCACGCGTAAAAAGTCTTTTTACACGCTCCCTGCTACCAATAATAATACAATACAACAACTAGGCAGAAAACAGACAGATATCTGTGACATTCAGCGACCTACATGTACACGCAAGGGTATGGAATTACGATTACTCACGGTATTCCACTACACCAATGACCGTGAAGGAGAAGAAGGAAAAGCGTCACGTGAGGCTGGGATAAGACATGGCAGAAAAAGCTGGTATGTGTACTAGAATGTATTATTATTCTTTTATTCCACGATGGCGTGACGCCAATAAGGATGATTTATAAGTGCGATAGAACTGGTACTAGCCAGAAACAGCTAGATGGAAAATAACCGGGGAGGCAAGAAGCAATGGATCATGAAAAACAAGCGGGGGCAATAACGTTTGCAGTGGTGATCATGTATTTTTCAGCCTCACGAGTCAGGTCATAGCATAGCGGTGAAGACATGTCATAATAGACAGGTAAAACGTGCATTTGCCCTTATTGGGAAATGCTATAGTTCTAAAAATCTGCTGACTTTGTCATGTCGTTTTCACCTACAAAATCGGGACCCCTGTGCATATGCATGATTGCGCTATCTAGTCGGAACCTACTCCCTGGACCAGCCTGGGGCATGGGCCTGTCAGTTAGCTTGGGCCGCATGCGTTTCTGGATGTAGCGAACGTGTACTTGCCGGGGTGGGGGTATTCTAGAACTAGTAGAAGAAAATTGATTATGTCCTGTCTTACGCAGCAGCCGGCTAGCCGGGGATCGTTCTCTTTGTCCTATTCATTGGTGAAAGCTGAGCGTACAGCAGTACTAGTATCCTGTCCTAGATTACACTGAGGAATCGCGTAGTGTAGATTTCACCATTGCTAGTACATGTACATGTACTTGAGTATTTGCTGGCAAGTACATAAACAGTACACAGTACACAGTACACAGTACGTGTCTAGTGCGTTGTTCGAATGAATTGACAACGACCAGGCAGGCCTGAAATAAGTGCGCGCCCCATGTTGTAGATCCATGTACGAAGTTTCGCCCGACTGACTCTCTCTCTCTGTGAAGAGGTCACGGCAATTGAGAGGAGACTGGCGGACGCTGCATACTGACTACTGATCGCTCCCGCAGTTCTAGCTAGCCATGGACATCGGCCACGCTCTTCATCATCTCGGTATAGGATTCCGGAGGACATTCTATGTCTCGCTGTCGCGCGGAAAATTGGTTGTCCTTGCGTACTGGATTTATGCGCTTCTTTTCCAAGCATACCACTCACCCAGCAACAGAGCAACGCGTATCGAGGAGAAAATGTTGGGCTTTGGCTGTGCGCTACCAGCTTCGTGTGAACACAATTACAGTATCCAGGAGCGAGCGTCGCGCAATGGCAGTGACGTGATGAGATTATTTAAGGTTAACGTTACTTGGTGTTACTGCCTAGCCAATACCAGTACAGGTAGTAGTACATTACTAGAGTTCCGTGTTGAAAAGCTAGTAGTGCATAACCATGGCCGTGTACCCCCAGCCTGGTACCTCGTCATCATTTGCCTGGGGTTGACTGTGGTGAAGTTCTTGAAGCACCACTCAGATGCAGTGCCAAGCGCGTTGGCAAATGCCTGGAAAAGAATACGACTCGGACAATATGCCAATGTCACAAACAGAAGCAGACTAGCTGACAATGATTGGAACAGACGCTTGATTGCTGATGAAATGTCAACCGCTGTCAGTTTATCTCTATCCCTTTTGGCTACTTTTGTGGACCCACCATATTTTTGGCAATTGGATCAGTTCGTCCCGAATGACCAATCCTTTGACGTTCCCGTTTCTTCGATGTTCTGGTTGCAGGTAGCGTATCTCACATTTCTATGGATTTATGCTGAGATGGCGGAATGTGCTATTTTGCGTCCAGTGCATAGAACAGACGACGCTAAGAACGCTCGTTGTGCTGTGTTAACGCCACACAAACAGGGATGCGGTCGACTACTGAAGTGGATAGAGGCTAGCACGACGGCATTTCCGGATATAGCCATTCTGCTGGCACTGTGGGCCACCACAAGCAAAGTATATAGCGGACAACTGGCGCAAGAGGTATTATTGTTCTTTGTAAACGACGTTACGGACTCTAAGAACAACTGGAGGATGAATATGGTGTTTCAACCTGAGGCATATATTGCTGCTTGCCTGGCTTTTGAAGTGATGAGTTCCAGAGGTCTTGGACGTTTTGTTACCATGATCGTCGACACCAGAGTATTCCCTGTTTCCAGGGATAAGTTGAATTGGGCATTACTCATGGCACGAGAATTACACTGGAGTATCAAACGCGGTGTAGGGGGGAGCGATAATGGTGCTATCGGGAACTACCTAGTGCAAGCCGACACAACCCGTCGCAGATCCGCAACAAGTTTCATTATCCATGGCATGGCGGAGGAGGAGGTCGACAGGAAACACACTGGAACCGAATCGTCTGACGGGACTGAGGTCCTGAATCTGCTCAGGAATGTGTTTGGTCAGCGGCTGGCACCAGGGGACATCATAGGCACACGACGACTTGGTGAATGCACCGGTCCCAAGGCGACAAATACCCGCAGATCAAGGCCGATTCTTGTACAAACCAGAACACCTGAAGTCTGCCAGAAGGCGCTCAATCTACGCAAAAGTGTTCAGTACAAGACTTTCTCATCACATCTGAACATACAAATCTCGGAGTACTTCAGCAAAGAGGAACTGGAGATACAGCAGCGACTTCGGAGGCGATTTGAAACATTTCGAAATCAGGGCTTGATTTGCCACATGCGCTCGACCTACATCGAAATCCTCATGGATACAACCGGGATGACGCTGTACGTGTACATGCCCGAAACCGTAGCAAAAGGGAACTGCTTGTCGCTCACAAAGACCTTTCCAGATTCTTCAAAAAGCTCAGATCCCGCCAAAGACGTGCACAGTCTGAGTAACACTATCGGTCCCATGGAGAGGTATTTGCAAAGGGCCGAGAAGGAGCGGAGACGTACGGCAACCAGCCTGGTTATTCACGGAATCAAGGAGAAGAAGACTGAATATGTAGACGTCGTGCGTCTGCTGAGAGGTCTCCTTGACCAGCCACTAACACCTGGTTGCGTGAAACGTACCAAGCGACTTGGCAACCCCAGAAGCAACCCAGCCAACCCCAGACCCATGCTAGTGCAAACAGCCACAGCAGACATATGCAAGAAGCTGCTCAGTCTGCGGCCCAGTGCACTAAACAGGACATCAGGCAGCGGGAAGAACGTCTTCATCTCCGAGTACTTCACCAGGGAAGAGCGCGCGGTTCAGCGACAACTCCATCCAGCCTTCGTGGCCCTTCGCGCACTGGGCAAGCAGTGTTGTATGCGCTCTGCTTACATCGAAGTAGCTGAAACTACCGATCAGCGCCAAGCCATTCTGTATCATCCGGACACAGCGTGGAATTTCGTCGAGTCTACACGTCTCTCCGGGATTGACAGCCATGCACCGGTACAGGCCGTCACCCTCGAGCACGAATCAGGGTCGTATGCACAGTGCGAAGAGCAGACAGCTCGACGGCGTCACGCTCCCTCTCCTGCGAGTACGGTGGCGAGTCCTGTCTGAAGAATGCACTGCCGGCCACTCAGCGATAGTGGAAACAATGGTTTAGGTCGGGATGATAGCAGCTGAGTGTACATAAACTTACTCTAGTCTTATACAATCATGTACTTGATTACTTGATTACTACTGTAACATGCTCAATATTCCACCAGCATGACATTGTACGGATGTACATGTAGGTTCGGCCTCATTTTCTCTGCGCTGCGCTGATGAGTCCACAAAGGACGAAACAGTTCTGTCCGTAGATTGAGTATTGCTATTACTAGTATTAGATAGCTAAGGCAGTCACAGCATTCTGACGTTGCGTTCAGGACGAGAGCAGCCGAGTTCCTCCGTGGAACACACGCTTCCTGCCGAGCTTGACACTTGACTTGACGTTGAACTATGTTGTCAGAATACTACTTTCTGTTAATAGCCTAACATGAAGTGATAATAACACTGATATCACGTCGTTTGATCACATCTCAGAAGAGATGTTCTATTTAAACTGTACATACATCATGCACATGTACATGCCACTCACCAACCTATCAATATTCACTGGTTTGCTTTCAGTATTGTTGCACTTTACAGGTTGTGCTGTACATTATAATTACATCCTCTGGAGAGTGGGGATCGAGTGGAAAGGGAAAATTTAAATTTTGAACCCATTCCTTTTGTATGGCCATGTCCGCAACTTTTTCATACTTTTTATTCAATTTTTCATACATGTAGCTCTCAGTAAATAAAATCAGTTCAGAAAAGCTCGATGCTGCAGACAAGCAATGTAAACTCATCGCTTGGGTCACAGGTACATGTACTATACTAATGTATAAGTAGAAATTTTCGTTCACGAAATCTTTCGTTTGATCACTCCACCAGCAGGCTTGTTACGTACTAAATTTCGTTTTCGGTCGAGGTCTGTCACCCCAGGTTTAGTTTGGTACAGACTTTACTTATTTCGTGCCCCCTAACGAATAAAGCGAAAGTTAATTCCAAACGAGAATTCGTACTTATACAATCATTAGTATAGAACGGTCCAGACAGCTAGATAGCTAGACAGCTACCTATGCACTTGGCAGAGGCCCAATACAATGTAAGGGGATGGGAGGAGAGAAGGCCAGCGGAGAGTCAAACTCAGAAGAGGGCGGAGCTGAATAGCTGAAGTACACGTTTACTGTGCGAATTCAAATAAACCAAACAAACAGCAAAACCAGTACACAGCTCACGGGAAGAACGAGAGAGGACTGGAGCACAGAATTGAACTGCTGAAGTACACAGCTGACGAGAATAAAGACAGGAGCACAGAAATGAACGGGAGGCAGTCTACGAAGTGGTGGTACCATCGGTGCATGCACCACGGTGCATTATCACATTATCGGCTTTGCAAAGTTCGTGGGTACTGAATACCATGGTATGGCCAGCTGTGTAACAGTCTACAACGTGTAGGGAATGGCAGCTCGGCGGAATGCTGGGATGTTGCCCAGTTGCCCTACCATGGCTCGCACCGTGTCAGGTATATGATTCCATAACAGGCAACTGCGAGATGCCGGTCGGCATTGGCCTGCTCGGCTTCTGGCTATTGGTTGTTGTAGGCCCAGACTGTGCTGAAGGTGAGTTGCTCCGCAGTTGCGAACAAACAGTGCCTGCAGAGCAGGACTGGCACGGTTATGAACGCACCGCCATACCAGCACGAGCAGTTTCTGGCGATATACCTCGTCCACGCGATAAACAGAGAGCCTCTCCAAGAGGTCACTGGCCCTGGTAAATCGTGGTCGTCCGAACACCGCCCTTGCTGAGTGGGTTTGGGCCACCTGCAAGCGGTTTAGCTGGCTGTGGGTCAAGCCGGAGCCATATGCTGACGATCCATATATCAAATCCGGCATGATGACAGATAGGAAGTACTTGCTTTGACTAGCTAGAGTGAGGCAGCGTCGCGCCCGCCACAGACTACCGATCTTCCTAGCAGTGCGTGAGATTCACCGGTCAACTTGCGATTGCCAGGCCATTCGTTCATCAATCAAGACGCCGAGGTATTTGGCTCTGGTGGTGTGCGGAAGGACATCATTTCGACAGCGTACAACCACGTCCGGCTGCTGCCCACTGCTGCTGGTAAAAGCCAATACATTGCTCTTCTTTGCATTTAATACAAGACGACGAGCGTCCAGCCAACTTGAGAGGGAGGTAACCGCCAAGCTGAGCGCATCAGACACCTCTTGCGCTGTCCGTCTTGCACATGTCAGGGCGATGCCATCCGCAAACTGCAGTGATGATGGCGCAGATTCAGAGGGGCCATCTCTGGTGTATATGGAGAACAGCATGGGTCCTAGTACAGAGCCCTGCGGCACATCACAAGTGCACGCTACAGTTCTGCCCAGTGGGGAGCCCATACGAACGCGTTGATGGCGCCCAGACAGATAGTCCCGAAACCATTTCAGGGCTGTGCCAGAGATACCGATGCCGAACAAGTCCTGGATGCTGAGGGTGGCATGCTTCACCTTGTCAAAGGCTTTACTCATATCTAACAGGCATGATGTTGCTACAACATGACCGTTTTCTCGGGCTTGGAGGACGGTGTCCGAGAGCAGTGCCAGCGCATCTTCGGTCGAGTGTCTAGGGCGGAATGCAAACTGGGCGTTAGGGAGAGCTGGGTCGACGAAGTCAACCTCTTGTCTAGCACAATCGATGTGCGAAACTAGCACTACGTCCAGTCTGTTGGCACCAACGTGAAAAGTAGCGCTATTTTTAGAGCGCAGAGAGACACACACTGCTGCTCCCTGCGATGCTGGCAGCCCTCTGACTGTCCTGATGTAATGAAAGTATAAGCCGGATGCCACTGTTTCCAGTAGCGTGTTTGCTACGTTTACGAAGTTGGTCAAACTGACTTGTATTGTACTTGGAGCATAGTTCACACGATTTTGCAAATGCCTGTTTTCAAGTTCAAGGATTTGGCGAATCTTTTCCAAGTAATAACGTTAGTTTATAATTATTTTGGCCTTCAGCTTTAGCATGTTGACAGTGAAACGTAGAAGTGGTGAGTCCTTCGCTAGATGTGGGCAAACTAGTTGTACTGTCGTAGCTTGTTCTTGGTCCGATGGCAGCCACAAGTACACATACACACACACACACACACACACACACACACACACACACACACACACACACACACACACACACACACACACACATTCACACACGCCGCCACCATCACCACCAACAAGGACACATAAATAATTAATAGGTACACTGAGTCACTGAGCGTTGGTCAGGATATCATTATAGTACTTCGTAGTGCCATCATTGTCTGACGGCTTTCTGGCTTGAAAGCTCCACGTGAGACTGGGATAAGAAAATTAATGAGAGAAAAAGCGGGTGCTCACTGCTAGCTGTACTTCCCAGCATCACCAGTCATGACAAAAGCAATGAAGACATGTCATGTGACAGGTAAAACGTGCATTCGCCTTTATTTTAGGCAAGTAATCCGCGATATTCATGTTAAAAGAAAATGGCGTCACGATTTATTGAAAGTGGTATAGTTGGTGGTACGAGTGTTCAAAACCATTAAGATACTGTTCGTCTTCTTTTTGACATGCTCTCTTTCCATCGTCCTTAGCTTTTGTTTGTTGAGAGCTGTTTTGGCTTTCTCCTGTACCTCTGGGGGATGCCAAGTGATGGTTTTGAGAGGCTGGTGATGGCTGTGAGCGAGAGTTTGCCGATCGGCGTCGTTCTCGCTGTAGCGATGAAAATACTAGTTACGGCGCACCTGGCAGATATCACAACACGTCGGAGCGTCCAGGAGCAAAGGAATCTTGGGTTTTCACTGGAATCTAGTTCCTCCAGCATCGTGTAGCCCACCGTCGGTGAATGGCGGTCCAGAAAGGTCGAACCTGGTCTTCTGCAGCATCTCGCAGTCCTGCGAGGCACACCGTGTACGCCTCCCATGTATTGTACAAATAAAACTCATGCAGTAGTGGACTCTACAGTGATGAGTCTCAGCCTGTATGCTGCAAAAGACACAGGAAATGTGACTGGTGTCTGTACACTCAGTGACTGGACGCCAACACTCCAGTCTTCTCCTGCAGGATCTGTTTGACATTGACATTATGCAGTAGGTCGGCATTGACCTGGTTTGGCAGCTATCGTAATAGTATCTGCCTGGTTGGATGTAGCAGGTTGGTGTTTGCTCGTCGTCCAGTCCGGAATTTTCTTGTAACTCACGGTGGAGTACGCGCAGGGTTTGTGATCATCCCTGTTCACTTCAATATTATCAAACACAACGTTCCCTTTGTCACTCATCTTATCCTGAGTACTGAATTTGCTGACAATATTGCACCACACTTCAGTTCCAGTGTCACAACCTACCGCCACTGCTTGCGGTGGCGACTGGTTCGTCAATGGCGGTGACCAGGCTGACTGACTAGCTTCGATACAGCGGCCTCGTTGTCAACCCCGCGGCAGCCTAAAGGTTGATTTTATCGATCCAGCCTCAGCGCCATGTTGACGATGCCCTAGTGACTGTGTGTCATGGATTGCCTTGCCATCAGCGGTCATTGCCGTCCACCTTGGTGCAGCCCTCAACAACTGGCTCAGCCCATGGGAGTCTCAAGTGGACAAAGTTGTTGCCAAAGTAGCTCAGAAGATTGGTGCATCGTGGTGTAGGTGAGCACATAACTAGGACTTCCCAGCGCCTATTTGTCCAGGCTGCGATACTATGTGACATGCTGTACTGCACATTCTTTTCAGCACTGCAAGGCCGGCAGCTGGACCGACTGCAGGGGCCGCGCACATGCAGGCCGCATGTTGCCAGCGCAGCATTCTGGAACGTTCCTTCCTTCTGAGATCCGTGGAATAATAAATTTCTTTGCTTCAAAGCAAGTTGCTTACCTTTCTATTGTGCTCCCAGTGTCCTTACAACAATAACCTACAGCAATGTTTTATTTTCCTTTCCATTCCCCAACCAATGAATACTACAATGTCGATTCTATTTCTGAATACTTTAGTGTGTGCCCGCGCACGCACGTGTGTGTGTGCATACCTCACTCGCCACTCGAAGTTCTGTTCCCCATCACT